CCACAGCAACACGGCAGTACGGAAAGAAAAGAACTTCACAGGAACCTACAAGAAGCAACTAAGAAGAGAGTTACCTTCCGAATCAGAAACTCTCTTGTGCATCTTTTACAATTATTTTTCAAAGAAAATAAAAACACTGTAAACCTTATAAACACCAGCAATTCACACAACCACTCTCCAACCACACGCTACATGCAATGGCGTTCCAAGAAAGGTGATAGACTCCGCCCAGAACCAAAGTACAAACATGCAAGTATAGAAGTAATTTTGTTATTATATTCAAAAAACTAAAGTCTGCCACCTGCCAGTAACTGCTAGAACATCATATGCAACACAGTTTGAGCCGGAACACGATACTATCATGCTAAAGAGCAGAACCAGAGAACAAAATTATGACAACCCGATCACCGCTACAATACGAAGCCTAGAAGCTGATATTCACAGCGAGAAAAAAAAACAAAGAAATCGGTGGAGGTTTGATATAGTTATATGCCTTCGAATGAATGTTGCTTCAAGTGATTATTCTTGTTCAATGTAGGAACACTGTCAGATCAAACAGTAGTGCCACAAGTTAGAAGGCTCATCAATTGATTTGGTTCTACTTGTTATTGCTGAAATTATCTGAAGCCCTTCAGATGTGGTTTTCTGAATGATAGTCGCGATACATAGTATGAACAAGAAAGCATTCAACACATGAGCTTCATACTTTATAGGGATTCTCAGTATAAATTATTTCATCTATTGCGGAATAGTTTTTTTTATGTGACATATTTGATGCTATCATGGAGGAACGCCTTAAGAAATACGATAACGTATATGGAAGGTTATAAAAGAAGTCTGGTGTGTTACCTTGTGACATTCATACTCATTCCGCTCTGAAGATCATTTTTTCTTTCCCGTTCCTTGTTTGAAATCTCAGAATCGCTCTCATCCAATTCGATTTGCTTCAACTCTTCGAGCTTCTTCACGAGTTTTTCATCAATCATTTTTTTTTTATTATAGTCAACATCGTCATATCCTCTGAAATCAAAAAATGCCTTGTTTTGTGAAGAAATACGGTACCTGTAATGTTGTTCTAAGTAGGTCACCGCACAAGTGGTAACGAAAGTTCCCCAGAGATACAAAAGAGCTGCACAAAACCAAATGAAAGCAACAAAAATATTTCTTTCTTCATGTTTCATGAAAGCATATCTATAAACGTGGAGAGCGTTCAGCTCTTCACACTTACGACATCCACGAAAACGAAAATATGACTACGATTATTAATCTAACATTGTATATAGTGAGCATCCATGCTTTTTGCTGTAAACCATAATCGTAAGCCATGTATATGCCGTACTTTTCTCACAGATAACAGACCTATAGGTCCGAAGAAAAAGCCCAAAAAGGATAAACCAAGTGCTGTTACCGGTATAGTTATATCAGGTGACCACCCAATCTATCAAACAGTGATAAAGTGAGTGTTTTAAAAAAAGACCTCACCTCGGTGGAGACTAGATAATAGAGGCCAGCAGTGATTAGAACTGCTGAAATATCAAAGACCTTAAGAAAAAATTTGCAGACTTCTTCTTAGTAAACTGCAAACCTCGAAAAAAAAACACGCCAAGAAGCTGTGCAAACAGCCGCAAATCTGAAAGATTTGAAATATAACTAATTATGTGTTTGTTCGTTTTCTGATAATTTTCTATTCCTCTTCATTAATCAAGAAAGAAGAACCTGGTATCTTTGAAAATCATCTTCAACAATTTCATTGAAAGCTTGAAATACTGAGCCCATATTTTCTGAAACCTTAATGGTGAATGTTCGTTCGCTGTTGTGTCTTGAGAATTAGCATACTCAATCCTCACGCAGACCACGCAATATTGCCGCCAAGTCTATAGGTTTCAAAATGCTGGGTTGACTTTCTTGTCTTCATTCACGATCTTCCCATTTCTTCTTCTTCCTTATCTTTTCTTGACGTCAGAAGGTTCTCTTTCTCCGAACAACTTTATCACTTAACGCTGTAAACAGCATACAACCCATCCCGATCTTAAGCTAATTCTCTCTTACTTTGACATAGTGCTAGGTTTCGTTTGCTTTGAGAACTTTGTATAATTCAGGGATCTTCGATTGAAAAATGGTAGCAGCTCAGTTACTTCGATCAACCTCGATAAGGATTTTGAACCACTCCAGATACATTAATAATTCTAGGGGTTTGTCAATCTTTCCGGGAAGAGCTGGTTAACTTTTAATATTTAAGCGCTGTATCTTCCCATCGTGCAGTTCAAGCTCTCTGATATAGGAGAAGGAATTGCCGAAGTTCAAGTGAAAGAATGGTAAATCTTTCATCTATCATTCATAGTTTTATTCATCGCTTGAAGGTATGTGAAAGAAGGAGATACCGTCAGTCAATTCGATAATCTGTGTGATGTTCAAAGTGACAAGGCTGCCGTCACAATCACCAGTAGATATGACGGTGTTATTCGCAAATTGTAAGTTTACCCTATTAACAAAATTCTCAACCATCATTTTTGAGGTACCACAACATAGATGATCTCGCCCGTGTTGGCTTACCACTTGTTGATATCGAAATCGAAGGTGACGACAGTGAAGAAAGTACGAAAGATTCCGAGAAGACTCAGACTTCAAGCGGTAAATTCTAATTCATTTCTTTTTGTAAGCAACGAATTCAATCGGGCATAGTTGTTCCTAACCTTTTATCTTAATTGGTTTTTCAGAAAAAAGCGCTTCCTCCACATCATCTTCAGCTACTCAGACTGCTAGTGGACACCATGGAACACAAGGAAAGGTTCTGGCTACGCCAGCAGTTAGAAGAATCGCTATGGAAAATAAGGTTTCTATATATTGAGAGCATTTTGATATGATACAATGTACAGGTGAACTTGAGCGCCGTTCCTGCTACAGGTAAAGAAGGCCGTGTACTCAAGGAAGATATTTTAAAGTTCCTTGGTCATGTCAAAAGCGGTAATGCTTGAGTTTTTTTTTATAATACTACGAAGTTTAAGATCATTCTTCCGGCTCTAAGAATGTTAGAGCGTCGCCCGCTACAGGAGGGTCGCAAGCTCAAGCTAGTTACAAAACGGTATGATCCAGCACATAACTCTTGTCTGATAAAAACTAGTACAGTATGAACCACTCCGAGAGGATACTGCTGTCCCTATCAGAGGATACACCAGAGCAATGGTCAAAACCATGACTGAAGCTCTTAAAGTTCCACATTTCGGATATTACGATGAGGTATAACAATCTTCGAGCTGTATTACCGCTATTATCCCACAGATTACCATGGACGCGCTCATGAGAGTTCGCGGGGAATTGAAGGATTTTGCTAAAGAACAGGGACTCAAGCTGAGCTTCATGCCTTTCTTCATCAAGGTTTCAAAGTGCTGAATAATATTTTAACTGTTTTAACTTAGGCCGCATCTCTTGCTCTCTTGGAATTCCCATCTCTTAATGCTACCGTCGATGATAAGCTGGAGAACCTTGTTTACAAAGTGAGATTATAGCCAATTATGCAAGAATAAAAAAGTTTCAGGCTTCTCACAACATTTGTTTAGCGATGGACACGCCAGGAGGTCTCGTTGTACCAAATATCAAAAATTGCGAACAGAGGTTAGTGACAAACTTGATTTCGTACTTATACTTTTCTTTAAATCTCTTTAAGGAGTGTGTTTGAAATCTCTGCAGAGCTTCTCCGCCTTCAAGAAGCAGGAAAGAATCAGAACATTAGGACAGAAGATTTGGTTGGAGGAACTTTCACTTTGAGCAACATTGGAGCTGTAAGTTTAGATTATATATCGAATGATTTCAAGATGTTATATGTAGATAGGAGGAACTTATGCCAGTCCTGTCGTATTCCCTCCTCAAGTAGCCATTGGAGCAATCGGTCGTGTCCAGAAAGTGCCACGTTTTGACAGACATGACAATGTGAGTACAGAACAAAAGTCGGAGCATAAATGTTTCTACTCTAGGTTGTCGCTGCGCATGTAATGAATGTTTCCTGGTCCGCCGATCATAGAGTCGTTGATGGGGCTACTATGGCAAGATTTGGAAACAGGTATGTATCACTCAGATTTGGCATTCTCAATTCTTTATTTTCAGATGGAAGTATTACTTGGAACACCCATCAGCTATGCTTGCTCAACTCAAGTGAATTCCATTAGAGACCATATATACATGTTGTTATACCTATTCAAATTAGGCCTAAGCTTAAAAAATGAACACGCCAAGCTATGAAACAATTTTCGATTTAGAATTAGAAGTTAGTTAGGAGGGTAGTCCAAGATAGGAGTGCAGCACTGGTTTACACTTCCATTCTAATTTTACTATCAAATTTTCTATAAATTACCGGTGCATATTGCATTCTAGTCGGTGATATGCTCAATTTAAGAATATTCTCAAACTTTTTTTTCGGAAGACTGTTCTTGAATGAGAAACGACCTTTTGATCGTGTTGTGAAACTTGTCGTCTACCCACTATGCATTTTACATATCTTCCGACATCTATTTCCATTTTCTTTAATTTGTTAGATGTATAGAAGAATTTATAATAAAGTAGATTTTTAAGAGAAGTTCATTTCTTCAGCTTAGCTTAGAGTAGAAAAAATGAGCCATGTACACAGTAGTGCTTGACAGAAATAAAAGGATGTCCTCCAATCTAACAAACGATTACAAAATGTCCAACGGAGACATTCCAAAACATTATTTCATGAAACCTTTCTTTCCAATGTGTTCATTACTTGTCTCACTGGCATAAGTGCTCATCCATCTGGCATTTCTACAGCTGGTATCAAACAAAACACGCCTGTTCTCCAATTTATCCGATACAATTCAGTTTTGAATCATTCGGCAACTACTTGACTCAGAATAGACTTCTTCATTCTTTTTCGTAGCTTTGGGTCACGCTATTAATCTTAGAACAGCCTGAATTTCTTGAGCATAATGATCATGAAATTCTCATTAGATCCCACAAAAAGCAATTTCAACTTGTTCTTCTGTTTCAAACCACATCAGCTGTGTTATATTTTTCCAATTACATGATATATTCCACAATGCTAACAAAACGAAACCCACGACCAATATTGGACGAGTATTTCAAAACGCTTGTTCGTTTTTTTTTCGAAGCTTGTTTCTCGTTTCTCACTACATAGTTGTTTTAACTACTCTCCCAGAGAAATGCTCTTGTTCCAAACTTTTCCGCTATTGGAACATCATGAGAAGACTAAGAAAAATCCTTCAAAATAAAAGTGCATCTTCCATTTCTGCTCCGAATGAAATCGTCTAGACAACTCATATTTCAACATTTAGATGCTTCGATACTTGGTCGTTGCTGGTATCTTACTAGCTACAACTGCTGCTTTCGAGGTAATTCCTATTCTTAATCCTCTTCGGAGAGCCGTAAAGAAACAAATTAATTTTAGTGTCCTGCTGACACAATCTTGCGATTAGCTAGTAATCACCGCTCCAAGGATCTTGAAGCAGAGTGTCATAGGTAAAATCACTGCTAGTGGAAAATCGAAATGATAAACCGAATTGCGATAAAACAGCGTTTCTCTGCCCCCATCAGCCACGTGAAATAAGTCAAGTCTATTGATCGACGTGCGGGAAACCACGTGAACGATCAACACATCAATTCATTTTGTTTTTTCGACAAAAGCTGATCGGTTGTCTCTCACTGACGTCAATGCCTATCGTACATCATATTGAATGCAATCTTTTCCAGATCAAAATCTTCTATCGCCTGCGAAAAGCAAGAAGACGTTAATAAGTCTTGGAAGGCATTTGAAGAAGTACAGAACGAATACAAAAAGGTCGCATAGCTAATCACATAAGTTAACATATCGATAATTTTATAGCTTGTCGCTGAATGCGTCGCAGTGCGAAAATCGGGAAAAACAAAGAGAAGCACCTCAGGTATATACTAATCTACATCTTTGTTATTGCCTTAGTAGTAACAGTGAATATCAAAAAATTGAAGTTCAAACATAGTTTGTTCTCGTCACTATTTCCAAACTAAAGCGCAATGCACCTAAATAAGTTCTTGAGTAGCCAGATAAGTTTAGAGATTAACTATCGTAAACAAAAAAGTTTTTCGAAACTTTGTCCAATTCATTGCGCCACCCTCCACCTTCACTCCTATCATATGCCTCTTCGGTAATCTAGTCTAATATGAGTGTACATGAATTCAAACATATTGTTGGCTACTTCACTTTCTATACACTCAGTGGTCAATGAACTTTGGACAATCAATGAACTGACTGATAAGACTGAAGAAAGATCCAGTCTATGCCATTATCAACGATAATATAGAAAGTGATGATGAAGCATTCTAGAACAATCGCTTCAAAACCGAGGAAGAAATCAGCTTCGAAAGTTCTATTTCAGTCAGAATTTGGAATGTTCGAAAAGGAATAACTTCCTTCGCTAATAAAAACAGTTTTACAACCCCAAACACTTCGCAATCTTTGCAGTGACTTCTGATGCTGGACATGCTCATCGCCATCGCCATCACAAAAAGCGCGCTATTGATATTGTAAGAGCTGTACAGGAACCAACTAACTTGTGACTGATGCATAACTTCCTAGGTTCCTTATTCTGAGCCAGAACGCCAGCAAATCTCTCGCACGCGTCGTCAAGTGTGTATGACCAAAAGCAAGGAGACTCTTGATAAGATGCAACAGAACTTCAAAGATCATTGCGACCGTGAAAACATGTGGGTCTTTTTTAACAGGGATTCTGGAATAAATTTGTTACAGTTGCCTGCCTGATGAAGATTTACCTGCTGGAGCTCAGCAAGATCGCATCAAACAAGTTCAAAACGACAGAGCCAAGAAATACACTACATATTTGTCTCTCGTATCCATGTGTAATGCTTAAGCATAACTACCACTGGACCATAGTTTTTTTAACAGTTCTGAACATTTATTTGATCACATATATGATTATGACGGAAGATAAAGATAGCTTGACGATCTGCTTGAGAAGATTTAGAAGCAAAAGAAATTGAAAACAAAATATCGGTTTGACCTACTTTATTCGGTTAATAAAAATATAATATACAATAGAAAACAAGCTACAGGTTCAAGACAAAAACAAGCATGAGCATGAAAAGTGCACAATAAATCAGATTATACCTGTATATAGACTGACTGGTTACAAATAATATATAACTTCTCTGTACAAGGTCTGCTGAGGTAAAAGCAAGAAAAAAACTAGCAAAGCAACTAATCGTGGAACCTCTAAGAATATGTGAAATTCTATTATTACATAAGATTTGACACAACGTATGACCCATAAAAGTAGGACAGGAAGACATCAAATCCTCTGGAATTTGAATTATAAGATCGTAGTTTGTTACGGGCATATATTGCCACGATGCCAAGAAAGCTGTCAAAGCTCAGACATTGCTGCCCAAAACCTCACAGACAAAAATGTTATGCATGAAAAACAATCAAACCCTCAAAAACTAGGAGATGATTGAAAAAGAAATTTAGAATAAGTGAACTCTGAAAACATAGCTACCAAAGTGAAGAAAGGCTGCATATGAAAGGCAGAATATACATAAATAGTTGCTCGAAAAGCTTCCATAAAGTTCCAACTTAAAGACGATGTAATAGATAAACAACAAGTTCATAAGTTCCCATCGTAATAGCCGTATTGGGAACTGTTCGCAATAACTGGAATGGTTCCGAAGATATTATGAAATCACACAATGAACGGTCTTTACCTGTACAGATAATCCACGATACATAGCCCTGCCTCCTTCGTGGTAAAGATTGAGTAACGTACGGAAGAATCCCCTTTTCACTTCAGATTCTTCTCTCAGTCTAGTTCGAACTACTTCTGAAAACAGAAACAAGTCAACTATGTGATATAACATGACATACCGTGAGGATAAGCGATAACACAAGCTATGAATTTAGCAGCTCCACCAGCAACCATGAAATTGAGAAAATCCTTAACGAGAAAACCGTTTACAGGGTTATCATACATAGAACATTACCATTTTTCGAGCATCATTACCATGGTTCGCTGTATTCAAAAGTAAGCTACGAAGATGCTCGTATATTACAAACTGGATGACAGTTTCCGACACTCCAGCGTATGAAGCAGTAACACCCTGCAACAGAAACGATGAGCTGAGCGAAACTGATAGAACGAAACCTTATAAAAGCCACGAATTCCTTCTCTTTTATAAACGCGTTTGATCATGTCGAAAATGCCGATGCTACCATGATGAAGTTGAAGTCTAGTCTTGACTAGCCATATTGGATTCACGACTGAAGCTGCGACAAATCCTGAAAAGTTCATTGTATTGTTGCATTGTTTTGACTATTGTCAGTTTGATGAATTATGGAAGCTTAAGACTCGAGACAGAAGGTTTTTCAGTTGGTGACAGCAATCGATACACTCGAACGAACAAACATCAACTCATTCAATTCTTCAGTTATCTTTTGCTGAAAAAACCTAAGCAGCTCCTACACAAACAAAGTTGGAAGAGAAGATCAATCAATAAATGCCTAGCAAGGGAAAGAACATCTCTCATTTGCTTATCGAATGAGCACAAAAACTGTTTCTAATATAAACTATAGCATAGGTTGTAGGGGCGGACATCGCTATTTCATATTATTTTCTAACTAAAAGTTTCTAAAGTACAACATATTGGTCGGTTAGACCCTTGCATTCGCTTTTGAAATCTCTGACTATTTTCCAGTTCTGTTTCATAGGGAAAACACGTGGATAGCATGTGTACATAGCACATGACTACTAAAGAAATGAGACACGAACAACAGTGATAATGAAGAAAACATTGGAATTCCAGATAAAGAAAACTAACCCGCGGTTCCGGCGCTGACCATATGTACAATTGCTCTATCAGGAATAAAAAGTTCCGACTCATTCCAAAATCGTTTACTCGTAGAGTACGAATAGAAATATACAGCTCTATAGAGAAGGGTTGTAAAGAGTGTAATGTATATTTATTGAGATACTCACTTCGATGGAGCTACTCCTACAAGGTTTGGAACTAAACCCTTGTACAATGCAGAAACACCTTCAGTTCTAACAACATGCCTAAAACAAAACGGCGAGTTATGAAGCACTATACAGAGGACACTCACGCGAAGTATCGGAAAATTTGAAAACGCCTCTTCGTTTGGTCCGTTGAAGATTGAGATTGGGATTGCACGAACCTAGCCAGATTTAAGGACATGGGATTGTTCACTACATCAGCTGCAAAATCAAAAATCAAAGAAACAATTAATCAATGTACATACCTTGTACTCGTATATTATGAATAGCAAGTTGACCGCGTAAATCGCTCCCTGAAAACTCATTAGTTTGGCAATTTTCTGCTATAATTACCCAAGAACTGCTTGTATTGAGAAGCGGCGTGACCATGTTTTTGCCTATTAAAACCTGGAGGATTCTGTTTAGGACCGTCTCCTATAGAAGGTGGATATTTAGACAATTTAACATGAACTTCTTCAAAACCTTGACTAGTGCTGGGGCCTCCACCTGTTATATTGAAGCCTTTGCTGGATTGCATTCGGGTCTTTATCACTTCTAATGGACATGTTAAAGCCGTTCCTAAATTTCGTAATGGTCAAGTTAGAATGAGAAGCAACTCTTAAAACCTGCTGTTCCACCTACAGCACCGCCAACGAAGTGAATCAGTGCCTCTCGATCCATAAACATATTCGCGTGCAGAAGTTATTACTAAATCTGTAAAAGGAAACTATGCTTGTCCAATTAAAGATTTATCACAGTCAAAGATATAATATTTTCGAAATCAAGTCTATGGTTTTACACCTTGCAAACAACATCGTATTTAAGAAACATGCTAAATTTCGGAACGATAATATAGACGGGGTGGAGGCGGGGCTTCACTGGGTCCTGACCTGGAAACTTTGTCCGTAAATCTGTTATCAGTGCAAGCTAATGCAACAGAATAGTAGAAATCGATGACGAGCTAACGCAATTGATTATAACAGTAGAAACTATATACTTTTTGCGGATATGTTCCAGGCAGAACATTTTCCAGAAACGTTCATCATTAGCTGATTGGTTTAAGCTGTTCAAGCGCTCGCCTTATCGCTCTCAGGCAATTTAACCACGTTATGAGATATATAACTGCATATTGATTAAAATAAAGATGCTTAATCATTCAATTGATCAATTAAATGCAAAACATTGAGGAATATAAAGTATTTTGGCCGTCTGAACAAAAAGGTCAGTGCATTGAAAATTTTGCATACCGTAAGCTTTATTTTTCCAGAGTGGAAGACAAATAACGGTTGTGTTCAGACTTTCAGCAGGTCTTCAACTTCAAAACTATAAAAACCTATCGGAGTTAAGCTAACAGGAAAAAATAAGAGAAATAGGGTTTCTTTTCTAATTCTAGTTTGTGTGGACTTCTACAGATGATGACAAATCGAATAAAATGAAAGAAAGATTATTATCAAATAATTTTTATAAAACGCGACGCATTTGACAGGAAGAAAGAACTTTGCTCTAAGATAAAGCCGTTACCTGACCAAAACTATGAAAAACAACGACTATTATGCATCTTAGGTTACGAGAAACAAGCTTCAAAAAATGACTAACGAGTATGATATCAATAGAGCTGCAAATATTTTTGTTTACCAATCATTCGAGAGGCATTTCGGATGGAATGAACTTTTGTTTTTTTGTGACAGAAAGTACAGGTCTTAGTTCTTACGTTTTCCTGACTTCCATCCTCTAAAATGTTCTTTTCTTTCCTCCCGTTTTTTCGCGGGCATTGTCTCATCTCACTATTTATACGAAATGTTCTCCTATTTCTCCACTGTAAAGCAACTATTCCAGAAAACTGGCGAAAAAAACTTTCAAAAGTCGCAATGTTCTGTTGTAGTAAGGACATGATTCTACCCCTCTCACATATCCACGCCTAGTCCATAAAAAATATTGTTTTCAATGCGAATACTTCAAGTTCCTTAAAGTTTTATTACAAAACCAGAAAAAAGGCCGTATCTTATAGTTTGGCAGCTAAACGCTCAATAATTGTTGGCTTCTCCGATGGTTCTTTCAATTCCATCCATCCGTTAGCGATGACAACCTTGTCAGTCTCTTTCACCTGAAGTCCAATGATAAGCTTCCTTCTTTCATATTTATCTCCTGAATTTACCGACCTTGGTCTGGAAAATAATTTTATTTCCATTTTTCCACATTTCCGTTCGTAATGTCTGGCCAGGAAGAACAGGTGCAGAGAATCGGACCTTCAAAGATGTTCACGTGACACAACGACTTTTGAAATACAATTCTTTTGGCACTTTTTATGATTTTAATCACTCAGAGTCTTCTCCACATGACGTTCGGTAATTTCATATGATAACGTAACATCATTTAATTTATCATTATGAATAAGAGCGGTCGCATTCAGTCTATTTTTACTTTTTCGAAATTTGATGTTCGAAACAGTCACGTTTTTCTTTTTTTTTCTCTTTCTAGCAACAAAATAAGGTATTACAACATACTTTAATCTTCTGAAGCTTAGAAGCATCATTGTCCGTCCAAGTTTTTATGATGTGTCTTGTTGCAAAACCCATAGAACACAACCCATGAAGAATGGGTTGCTTGAAGCCAGACATCTTTAAATCACTTATTACACTAGTTTCTCATCCCAATATCTCATACTGTTGCGAACTCTGGATCAACATGGAGAGGATTCAAGTCCAAACTTCCCATTCGGTACAGAGTTGCCTTAAACGTAGTGTTACTTAGTATGTCACAACCTTTGTGTTACTTGGTCTTCATTTGTAACTTCCTCCACAACAGCATCCGGTGCACTTTCAGGTATTTTTGCGGGTTGAACTTCATCGGGATGACTTCTGTTACCCCCAAAACCACCTCCGCCAACCTGGAAAGTACTCACCAATTGGCGGGAGAGTTTTTTATTAGTGGCGTCATCGTAAGTGATCACTGAAATTTCAAGAGTTTAATGGAACATGGGGAATCCTCAACCTTCGGAAAGGATCAAAGCTCCTGAACCCTTATCAAGCAGATCAACCACGCGAGTTTCTGAGCGCAACTTTCCACTAGCTGGTAAGCTTTCAAAGATTTCAATATACTGTTCGCCGTGAAGAATACGACTCAAATCAAACTCAATACCTATGAAAAAAAAAGTTAAAAATAGTGTTCTTTGCGGTAAATATACCTGGCCATGACATAATATTCAGAGAGAGCAAGCCGGGAGCAACAACATATGTTGGGTAGGGAGCGAAAGATTCATCATTCTCATAAACATAACGAAGGTCTTCTCTGGCCCTGTTTCCAACTGCAAATATGGAAATAAAACGGAAAATTAGTGTCAAAGACTTACTTCCAAGAGCGTAAATGATGGCATCACGGCTTTCGTACGAGAAGAACTCGGGTGGGGCTTTGTGCTCACGGGCAGCTTTAGGATCCATTACAGAAAAAGCAACTAAAAGTAAAAAAGAAAACCTGATGATAAATTATATGTGCTGATGGCGTCTTATTTTGGAATTGGCGTTTTCTGCTCATCTGATTGTAGTTCATTGTAAATAGATTGTAGTCTATCGATTGATAAGACATGATAAGAAAACTGTGTCGTTTAACAGGAATTCCTAGAACAAAACTATTCAAGTATATTTAAATTAAACAATCATCCATTGTTGTTTGAGACTCTGATCAGATGATGAGAAACAAGAAGAGAACAATCATCAAAGATTTACTGGACAACAAAATAATTTATACAATCGTCTAATTGCACTATAGAGTGAAACACTAAACCAGTTTCTATTTACACATAATGACTTGAAAGGCATACCACATGTTTCTCATAAATTATTCTAAGTGTTAGTTCGTGAAGGGAATCTCCAAAGATTAGATATCAAGTGGATGTTCTTGAGGAAGTTTTCCATTTTCACATACAGCCCGGGAGATCTTTTCGATGAGTGTAGGTTCTTTGTCTGATGAAGATCCAGCTAACTTCAAGCTGTCCAAAGCACGACGTGAAGCCTAGAAATATTCCCTTATGCTAGAAGAATTGTTATAATAACTTACGATGTGCACATAGAATTTAGCGATGTCCTTCTCGTGATCAGCACTTGGCGATTTCTTGTTGATTGAATAAGTGCATCTGGAAAGAACTATTATTTCGAGAAAATCTGCTAACTCATACCGCGAGAGTACAGCGATCATGCTGTAAATGTCAATAGCAGCATCAGCTACTCGAATTACTTCGAATTGACGATCGATAATTCCTTTTTTGTGCTTCAGCAGGAGATCCTGTACAGTCTTTCCGAATGTGGCTATGCAAACATCAAGCTGAGATGCTTCATTTGCCAAAGATGAGTCAACTACAGATCCAAAGTTGCTACCAGTATCTCCTCTTAAACAGAATGGTTAATGGAAAAAACCCTCAAAAACAAACCCTTTAGCTCTCTTAACAACTTCTCCGAAAATGGCTCCAAGACTTCCTGACTTCATGTCCTTGGCAAGTTGTTGGAGATGTTTACCAGCATGTTGGACACCTGTCAACCCAACAAAGAGTTTCATGATATCATTGGCTCCTTCGAAAATTCTATAAATTATAACTTTACATATTTTAAGTAAGAAATGCTAACCTGAAGATTCTCAGATCACGAAGAACTCTCTCTAATTGAGTTTCTTTCATGAATCCCATACCTCCATGAAGTTGGATGGCTTCATCGCAAACCCACCATGCGTTATCCTATATGGAATTGATCAAAGCCATCTACATATCTTTCACATACCGAGGCGAACACCTTTCCAATAGCAGCTTCCAATTGGTAATCGCTAATTCCTCGATCCATGTTAGAAGAAAGCATATATACAATGGACTCTGTAGCGTAATGACGAGCTACCATATTAGCCAATTTCTCCTGGACATTTCCGAACTCTTGGATTTTTTTCCCGAATTGAACGCGAGTTGTAATATGATCCACCTGAAACACATTTTGAATTATTCCTCAGAGCTAGTGAGAACTAACGGTTTTTTGAATACAGTATTTCATCGCTCCTGTGCAAGCAGCTGGAATTCCAAATCTTCCATTGTTCAGAATGTTCATGGCAACCTTGAATCCTTCTCCCTCTTTTCCGATTATATTCTCTACTGGGATCTGCAGAACAGAAATATTCATTAACGTCAGCTTTGAGGAACAAACCTTGACATTATCGAAATGCACTTCGGTAGTATTGGAACCTTTGATTCCCATTTTTTTCTCTTGAGGTCCGTTTGTGATACCTCCAAAGCTACGCTCAACAATGAAGGCCGTGACTTTGTCTTTCGTAGATCCATCAGCTTGTTTTACAGGAGTTTGAGCAAAAACGGTGAAGACTTCTGCGAAGCCTCCGTTACTGATCCAGATCTTTCCGCCGTTCAGAACGTAGTGCTTTCCATCAGCCGATAATTCAGCTCTTGTGCGAATAGACTGAAAAAAAAGAAGCGTGTAAACCACGGAAGGATAAAATTCACGTTAGCATCGGAACCAGAAGTTGGCTCTGTTAGACAGAAAGCAGCAAACTTGCGTCCAGTGGCAAGATCAGGAAGGTATTTCTGTTTTTGCTCCTCTGTTCCGAAGAGCAGGATCCCTTTGTAACCAATAGACTGAATTAATATGTTCGTTAGGACTATATCCAATGGAAATGCGAAAATACTTGATGTGCTCCCATAACTACTCCAAGACCGAGATCATGAGCTCCCACAAGTTCTGCTAGACGCGCCATTTGACTGTTGACAAGCCCAGCTCCTTCATACTCGGGCTGAAATACGGAGGATGAAGATAACAGTGTTAAGTAATGCGTACGGGAACAAGAGCTCCAAAGGCACCAAGCTCAGCAAACTGTGCCAGAACTTCTTTAGGAACATCCATGGTTTCATCATTCCTAAATTTTAATCATTAAAAACGGTTAGCACAGTGGATAACTTACTTGACCACATCATTAACTTCAGTCAAAAACTTTTGAGTTGGTCCGAGGATCATATTGAGCGTTTCTTTCTGCTCGTCATCCAAATTGAGAGGATAAGGGAAGACTTGATGAGTTACAGCTTTTCCTCGGAACAGATTCATACAGAATGACTCAGATTCCTTAAAGAAACATAACACTTAGTTTAATTAACACTTGATTCTTCAACCTCGGGTTTCTTCTGTTGTTTGGTTCCAGGAGCTGTAGTGGCATACTGTGAAACACTTCAAATTTCGAACATCATTAGAATAATCATATTGCAACAAACCGAATATTTCTCACCAAAGGACGAAGAGAAGACTTGGCCAATGTGCTGAGCATCTTTAAACTAAAAAAATTGTGTGAGAAGGAGGCAAGTTTTAAAATGAAAACTGTTATCAAATATTGAGTAGGATGATAATAACAATAAATAAATTAAATAAAAAAAGGAAAATGAATGAAGAAAGAAGTACTAGTGGTTCATAATTCATGAGATTGGAGAGATTGAAAGTGAAGTACAAGGGTCGTATAGACGATGTACTTTGTACCATGGCCCAGGCCGGCCTTTCACCAACAAACTTCCTTAATGAAATAATTATGAACCAGATGAAATGTTTATGAATTCTGTATATACTTCCTACGAATCTCATTCTCAGAATTAACTAAACTTCTTCGAACTTTAAGTTTCTGAAGCACAACTACCATGTGCATCAGGTCAACAACGTGTAAAGGGTTGATAACGTTTGATAAAAAACAACCAAAGATAAGTGTGTATGTTGAAACTCTTGGAATGCAGATTTGGAATTGTAATTACGAAGAATTTATTGATTTGAATTATGATAATCAAGAAAACCTCCAACACAAACAGTCATGAGAAGTACAAAATAAAAGTTTATTGCAAAATTAGCGATTCAATTCCCTGTAAATATACAATACAAAGAGAAGAATTAAATATATTACACTACCAATGATGATATGGCTTTACAACCATATATGTATAAAAATTGTTTTTTAGAAAAAACATGCAAATACTTCGTATGAATATAAGCTTCCGACTTATGAATATGAGAGTTAAGGTATGAAAATGTGTAAAAACGCAGGAAATGCTCGATACCGATCAATCTTATGCACATGGTTGAACCGGTCAAATCAATACAAACTTGTTAAAACATGAAGGAACTGAGTATGGACTCGTTTAAATCTATTTAAAATAGTCTAAGGACCTGTCTTGGCTTGTAGGAATAAAAGATAATGAGCTAGTTGGATGTTCAAAAACATCCTAATAAAGATTCAATACTATTCAGATGATGGAGGTTCACTCGCACGAACTCTTTTCACCGCAGGCTCTCCAGCTCCTGAATTATCATAGTTGCTGTGTCATCACAAAATGCCTGCGACTCACCAAAACTTATCGAGCTGGAAGCGGACACTACATGAACATTCTTCTCGGCCATTTTGACAAACAATTCTGTGACTAAATCAGGATGGTTTTGACTTAAAAAGGTCCAACCTTCAGTCTACAACGAGTGATCACTTTAAGTAAAGACAGAAATGAAACAGAATTACCTTCACAACCTGAGGAGCGTTCTGAGTAATGTACCGAATGGCTTCGGCTCTTAAGTCATGCGAGCTATAAAGATCGGCATAAGCTAAGTGTCTACAACAGCTTTCGGGAGTCAAATTATTACGTAAAACCTGCAAAGCAAGTATGAATATGTGATACAGAAAAAAAGAATTTACATGATCAGCCATCATTTTCAAGCCATGAACCTGGAATCGATCTGCAGCAGAAAGTAATTCTAAACTCATTGAGCCTATACTGGGAGCTCGGCCAGAATAGAGGAAAAGCATTAACTCGTTCATGACCTTTAAAAGTGAATTATCAATCAAAACGTTTTAATTACACTGAAACTCACGTCATAATCAATGTCCTTTATTATGCAAGTGTTCGATCGGGCTTCTTCTGTATGGGGTTCCAGCATGGCGGCGAAAACAGGAGATCTAGCGGATAGAATAACCTATAATGAAGAGATAGAAGATTGAACAAAGAAAAGAAAGTTCACCTTATGAGCTAAAATTTTTCTATCACCAATACAAATAGTAAAATCCCACAGCTTAGTATCGACATAGATATCTTCTAGATCTTTACAAACCTACAAACAACAATGATTTATAAAATGCTGAATAGTTAGCGAACCTCTTCTATTTTCGGAGCTGGCATAACGCTTAATTTAGACGATTGACTAGTTCGGGTGATGGTGTCGAAAGTGATTGTGAGTTCTAAGTTTATTTGAAGCTCATCTTGAGGAAGAATATGTGAGACAAGTAAATCTCTTCTGATATACTCAAAGTATCCATGAAGCTTGAATGATCAACAAATGGAAACGAGCTATAGAGACTATATTACCTGCTGTGTTCCCGTATAAACTGTAGTTGCTATTTCTTCTCCTCGTGAATTAAAAACAGTAAATTTATATTTGGACCTTAAATGTTGAGATGGGTTATGGCAGAAGCACTAAAACAGAGAATATGAAGCCCGCGGTGGTTTGATAAGCTACTACCTGGAAGAAAGTGAAGTCCTTATTAGATTCTTTATTTCCCTGAGGATGCAAGCGAATTCGGAATGTTAAAACTGATGAATCGCTACTGGACGTTGTGGCAACGCTCTATATGCTTAATATTATGGGAGCTGAGAATGCAATGACAAACTTGATTAGCTGTAGTATCACGTATTTTTGCGGAAGTTTCCAAATATCGACATTCACAATGACTAAAACCTCGAATTGTCCACATGTGACTGAAACCAAATATGATAAGCATAAGCTGGAAAGCCAGAAACTAACTTATGCACAACAGATCTGACTTCGGTGGATGACCAACTATCAGCAGGTCCTAATACGCCAACACCCGTGTCCACCATATCTAAACACAATACATCATAATGCTTTAATAATACGAAATGTAAAGACGAGTATAAGGCAATGATGCTCAAGAAGATTTTTGTATAGAAGAAGTATAGAAAAGCGGTGAAGAACTTTTAAAGACCGTGCAGAAAAATTTTAAATGCCTCATGAACAAAGACCATTGGGAGAAACACTGCTATGCTATATAGCCATATACGAAGTGCAAGAAAAAATCGATGAAGTAGCCATGATGCAGAGCGGAAAACCAAGAATCAAATGAGTTTCAGACAAATTGATAGCATAAAGAAACGAAAAATATTGTGAGTATTTGAAACGCTACCGATCTCCAACGACAATTAGCAAAGAATGACGAAATTGGAGAACATTATGACGGAAACACGTGAGAAATAGTAAAGATAACCTTCAGCATACACCCAAAAGCAGATAATTAGCATTTTACTTAGCCACACATAAGAAAAAGATGTTCGATAGTATGAGCAAGTACTCAATAATGGTGCGAAGGAATGCGATGCGTGGTCTATGGTCGATTTAGTGAGGAGAAAAGCAGAGAGAGCGATGCAGAAGGACAGATTGACAGAGAACAAGAACGACACAACGAGAGGTCAACAGATGTATAGAGAGTTCTGAGAGACAACGAAAGATCGTCAAAAAGCTAAACGATTAAGATAAAGAAACTGTGAGAGAGGCAACGCTAATGCAAAACACTTTCAATAAAACGGAAAGAAAATAGAAGAGGTCAAGATTGGCAAAATTTGAGAAAAGAACATCAGCTTGCGGTTGTCGATTACTTGCTCCGCTATAAGCATTTCGATATTGTCTACCTTTCTTCTTTTCCGGAATCTCACTTCAAGCATTGTGTGTCCGATGCTGTCTCGATGCATGCGATTCACTATCCATCTCTTTCTATATTGCCTTACCTTCGCAGCTCTATGGCTTCGCATTAAAAACAAAATTTTGTTTTTATTTCGAAAGCGAAAACTAAGACAACAGGGCAAACGAATCCTTAAATTCGTACAACAAATGAATTTCTTGAGAAGACCAATGACTGAAGTAAACTTTGTCTTCTGTCGGGTTGTTGGTTCCTATGGTTGCTGGCACGACTACTTGCTGTTGTCTGTCTGAGGCTATGCGAATGCTTTTTCTATATAAACCACTCATTCAATCTTTTTCTTTATAACCAATGAAAGCAAAACCTAATGGAGTTTGTCTTAGAAGGAGATATAGAAGATAAAACAAAAATTCGAATAAAAGCAGGGAAATAAGCTGAACATATGCATTTATGAAAGACTCTATTCTTTTTCAAAAGAAGATATTGATCAAGGTCGGCTGCACTATAGATAAAGCAGATAAACACAAAAATTGATGATCAATCTAATAGAGAATGATGGTCGATGGAAATACCCCAAAGCTCATCACAAATTTCATGAAAATATTTAGGCCTGCGACGAAGCTATTGAGATGTAATAAAATCCGCAGCTTTTTTTCCTTCACTAGCGCTTATAGAAGCTTATTCCATATAAAATCCGATACGATTCATGAACTTTAAGTGAGAGAAATCTTTTGAATTTATGAAATCCAAAGACCAATTCCATAATTAGCCTTGTCTTCTCTTAGACAGCATTATATGGTGTTTATTAGTACTTGAAGTCATGAAAAATAAAAGAATTACCAAAGAACATCACGGCTTGTTTGAGATAGAAAGGAAAACGAAAGAGGAATGAAGAACGAAAGGGAGAAGACAAATAATTTGTTGTTCTCGGCTTCTGGATAAACAGGACCTGCCTTGGTCGTCATTGCCAAAACTCGCCTCTAAATCATTTAAACGCAGAAGTAGTAACGCAGATAGAAAATATAAGATAAAAGATTAAGAGTAACCTGCTCATTACCTACTACTCTCTTTCTCACTTTCTCTTTCTCTCAGTTTTTTCGCTCTGTTTCCCTCTTCTTCCTTTCCCTTTGATTATGATTAGTTAAGAAAAAAAAAAGATAGAAAACGCAAAAGCGGGGAGTAGTTCATTCATCTGGTGCAGCAGCAGCAGCAGCAGCAGCAGCAGTAGCAGTAGCCACTTCTAATTCATTCATTCGAGAAAGACAAAGAATAGAAAGAAATTGAAATTATAAAAAGACCATTGAGGAAATTCGTTCAAAAAGTTCGATACAGAATATGTGAAAACGTTGTTAATCTTTTGTACTTTGAACGTTGACGCCTTGTTGCAGACGAATATCTATATTTGGTGAGTTATATGACGAACACAAACATTTCTCGGAACAAGATTGATAATTATCGATCATGAAATATAATGATTTATGGCAAATTACTGGCCGATAACATAATTCATAGCCATGAAAGAGGATTAAAGAATAGAAAAAGCAAGACAGGAAGTTTTCTTCTAAATTTTGAGGGAAAAGAGAAATTGATGGTGTTTAGAAAGATTTAAGTAGCTAACATATTCTTAAAAATATTATTTGACGACTATACGGAATTCTAAATCTTTTTTTATTCTAAAAACAATAACAAAATGATCAGTTGCCACGGAAACATCACAAAACTCTGATGATAAACTGACTTTCGGATGATCAAAAATAGCTAAAAACTGTAACTAACATGTGCGTGAAAAAAAAATGAAATAGGTATTTAGTAAATTAAGTAAATAGATGAAGAGATGAAAAAGAGAAAGCAGACAGAGGAGCATTATAAAGAGAGAACGGGAGTGAGGGATGATGAAGAAGGAGAAGAAGAGAATATGCAACCGCTCTGTGGACAGCTCAAAAATAAAATGAAAATCTTACGAAAGGGTTCAGTTTATTTCAGCGCACGCATATGCTAATTAGGCGAAAACATCATTTCCATTGCTTTAACGTAGTTTGTTAAAACAGACACTATTATGAGAAATAAAAGTAAATAAATAGAAAAAGATAGAACATTTCTTAATTATCCTTCTTTTTTTTCAATATCACTGCTTTCACTATATTTTCTTGCTCGCTGTTATTGTGTCTGGACTGGTATGTTCTCTCTTATTTTGTTGCTCTCTATCATTCCCCCCAAAACAATCCGAGATACTCGCACGGAAAAGTCAGAGAAGAATAGAACGAGGGTGACATCTTGCATAAACATTTTCTACCACACACTATTTACGTAATATTATGTCGTTTTCAGTATTGTCGGTGACATCTTGTTTTCTGATAGCGCACACATCGCAAAAAAAGGCCTTGTTTTGGTACAAAAAAGGTGAAATATTTTTATGGAAAAGAGACAAATCTTCGCCATGGAAAAACATATTTTCTTTGCTTGTTTCTCTCTTCTAGTCGTTTTTGCTATTGCTGCAGCTACTATGCTGCTGCTGCTGCTGCTGCTACGACTACGGCTGCTGCAGTCATCAACTATTACCAAAAGAAATGACGAACTACTTTATGCTCTTATTATTCAAAACAAATGATATACTTTGACATATGGTTGAAATTCCGAATACAGATATCATTATTCATTCATACATGAGATATACTGAAATCAATCTGCCTTCGAGGTGTGAAGTGCACAAAGGATGTGGAAATTATAAAACTCCCTCGAGTGAAAAGGAAAAAATAATCCAGATTTGCCTATTTCCTATTAGTATCAAATCTTCTATAATGTGGCTTTGTTATCTTCCTTTGTACCCAAGTGAGCAACAAAAGCTAAACTACAACATTCCTCATTCTGTACTCGCAAAAATAGCAAAGAAATATTGTCAATATTTTCGTTAACATGAAGCGAACCATGGAATAATCCAGAAGAATTGGAAGAAACCTTGTGAATAATATTTCCAAGGATAACAATTTAAAAAATAGAAAATTCGAAGATAATTCGAAGATCTCGTGTTTCAGCCTTGAACTTCATTTCCAGCATGTGGTTTTGATCTTGTTGGACCATATTAAGTAAAGGGAAGTACACGAAATATTTATATAGAGAAATCTTAGTCTGGATCAAAGAGAACACCCAGACTCATAGTTCACAACGATCACCGTTTGAGTCACAAAGACAACGCAATTGATTATCATGAGAATAGGGGGGGGAGGACTAACAGATGGAGGAAAGCAAACGAGGTGGCTACGGGAAGAATCAGGGATGAAAAAAGAGAAAAGAGAGAAAAATAGAGGAAGATAGTCAGAGAAACATGTACTTCTACGTATAACGCAAGTTACACTCCCGAAGATCAATAAACTCCAAATGTTTGCCGAAGGGTAGAGATCACAATTATGGGCTGTGGACGAAAATTAAAGTAGAGATGGAAGAAGGGAGCAAACTACACTAAACGATTGAAAGATCAATTGATTAGTCGTATTCATAATAAATGAGAGGGAAGAATATATTATTGAGCAAGAGAAGAAAAATAAAGTGAATTAAGATTTGGAAAATAGGAAAATCAGGGCAAAAACTAGAAAAATAAAGACAAAAGACGACGAAAGAGTAACAGAACTGCTGATGGATCTGCCAAGGAACTGTTGTTATTCAATATGATGTTGCGAGAGTGAGTGAGTCAAAAACATTCTGTTTTCGTCCAGATCGTAGAGGGAAGGAGTAAGAGGGAGAGAGACGACCAAAAATATTTTTCTACAGCTTTTCTTAAGCAACTAATATCTTAAAGATAGAAAACGTTGTAGTACTAATAAAACTATATACAACGGATCGTCTGTAGCGTTTATATCAGAGAAAACAAGTCAGTATTTTGGAAAACAAGCCAAACTAATGACTTCATACATTTGTGCCGAAAAAATCATCAAAAGAGAAGATACAACTCAAAATTTTGAGAATCACAAGCAGCTTTGAACAATTTAATAAACAAAGACATCGGTAAACATCACACATATTTGCTACAATAGCAGAACTTTCAGTTATGGAAGTATTACTTCATAATTAAACCTAACGGATAAAAAAATCCCGCAACATCGTATATGCCTTGTTAAGAGAAATGGGCATTGACAAGAAGAAGCCAATAGATACTAAGGACAAAATGTAATCTGCCGAGCACACAATTTGTACAAAAAAGGATGGGGAACGATAAATGACCTTTCAAGATTCGGAAGAGTCGCTGGAATCCATCTCATAACCCTTAATATTACAGCGATCCCCTTTACAATTACATACAACAGTGGATCCGGAGGTTTGACATGACTCAGATTCTCTTTCAGAACATCCACCTCTTACTCTACGCTGAGAACTTCCTGAAAAACTTAATCTGTTCAACAATAAATATGACGAGTAAAACCTTTCTGGATATAAGAATACTGACAGCCCTTTGAGCACTCGACAATCGTAGTGAACTCAGAAGGGCCATACTTATAACAATCAGACTTACAATTAGTCTGAACTATAAAAAGCAGAAGAACGGCTATAAAAACAGGGAATATGTTATTCAAATAGTACATAGCCAGGAATAAAACTTTAAAAGCGGAAGAAAGTGAACGAAGTTGTGAGAATATGCCAGAATAAACGTAGGTGACAAGACCTAGGTACTCAGTATGTGTACATAGTGCCTTGCGCAGAGTGAAGATCAATGGGAAATCATTAGAGGAACTTATTTATTTTAAATAAAACCGGAACTTCTCACCAAAATAGTTTATCACAAAGAAATAAATACAACACACATTACAACAGTTTAGCTTTTTGTGAGTATCTCTCGAGCATTCTCGTGCACAATATTCTCGATGGCAGTAACATCTCTTCTCCACAGCGTCATTCTGTCACACATCAGAAGAATCTGAAAACGAAATGTCATCATTTAAAACAAACATAAGACAAAGTAAACCTGATCAGAATTGAGCACACGTGGCTGTACCCATGTAATATGAACAGTCTGATTCACTTGATCAATCAAACCCTTTATTAACCCTTTGGACAATGCTCTCATTACCAAGAATTCAACCTTAATTCGAAATTATCAGCTCGTAACTTGCTTATACGATACCTCTTCAACTCCAACTTGGCATTTCGCAGCGATCTCTGAGAAAGGAATATTTCTTTCCTTAGAAGGACGAGCGAGAGCGATCTGGAACAAAGTATTATACTATCCGCTATCAGCTAACGTTTTAATCCTACTTCCATGACAGCCATGAGTCGAATTTTGCACACAAGAAAATCTTTCTTCTTCTTCAAGTCTTTCCATTCACCCCTGTATTGTAAAAATGATAAAAAGAAGGAAACAGACGCATACCAATGTTTTTCCATTTCGTGGAATTTCACCAAATCCCCAGAATTAAAAGCATAGAGGACCTAAATGTTATCTCCATCAATAGCACCGCTGTATTGGACTCACTGGAATGAGCCAAGATTCAGAAGTTTCCTCCAATGATTTCAGAATAGGGTGAGCCAACTGAAAAAGAAACGGTTGACAGTGCGCTTCCATAAAATGCAAACCAGTTCTCCAAAGTTGTATACGTTGACTCCTAATAGAGCGGCGAAGCCAACCAATAATGCTTGCACGTGCTTTTCTTGTCGAGAAAGGGAATCTGGGTCTTCTACTCCGAGATATCTTAAAGCCTCGCGGTAATACCCGGCGAAATCCCCAACTTCTCGCAAGTAGAGGGCAGAAACCTTCAAAGAGCTACATGAGCCATTCGACTATGAAATGTTTGACAACCTTATAGAATGGAGCATGAACTTCTGTAACTCCGTTGAGATCATCTACTTCCTTTTGAGTTGATTCAATCATATCCTTAAAAGAGATTACAACACGGATTTATCTCAGAACGAACTCTAATATGTTTGATGTCAATAACAGCTTCCTGAGCGCCTCTGTTGTTCAAACGGAGATCAATTTCACCTGTGTGAACTCGAGCGACAGCAACCTTAATCACAAATACGGTTTTAGTAATTTCCTTTTAATTACCTTGTCTTTCAAGACCTTGTTCTTCAATCTTCCCAAGAAGGCATAGGCTTCTTCAATATCTATAAAATAAAGTTAAGAATGAGACTTTTCTTTCATCGCTTACTCGTTTTGAAGATAAAGGATGAAACTGGAAGAGCAATTTCAACCAATTGAATTGGACTGATTCTGAGTTCGAACTCGCTTATAAAGCTATAATGATAGAGCATTTGAAGAGAAAACTGGATGAAACACTACTTATCATAGAAGTCCTTTAAGTTAAGATCCGTTGTGAATTCACTATTGTTAATCAATGAACGAACTTCTTTGGTTAATGGATGCCATAGTCTTAAAATCGGTTTAGAGATATAAGTCGAAAGAATTCAAACTTTTTTGCATAGAGTTCCTCAAGTTTGTGCCAGTTATCAGCAATATTATTCTTAGCCAGAGACTTCTGTTTAGCCAAATAAATAACCACGTTTTCTGCCATGAGCTTAAAATTCGTTCCTGTTAATAAATTTAAATAGACGAATGAAGAAAAGGGTTCATAAAATCCAAAAAGATGCCAGTGGTTTTAAAATCATCAAGTTATTTTTTAAAGGTCTCCTCTATTTCATTCTTTTGAGAAATCTGACCCATTGCTAATTCGAACTGGCGCGAACAATAAATTTTGAAAAATGGTGCACGCCGTTTTCTAATTCCAATTTAAGCATTGTTTTTCCAAAAACGTAAGAAGCCTATTCTTCGACTATATTGCAGTATTTTTATCTTCAAGATATGGATCCAGATAAGGTAATTAATCTTTTCTCTATTCATTCCTCATTTTCCTACAGAAAGAAAGACGAAGATCGAGCAGAGGAAGACGTAGTATGGCAGTCGTCACCACTGATGGCAAAAGTCCCACTTCGCTACCAGTTTTGTCCGGATCAATTAATGAATCAAATAAGGTATCTTATCATTTCTTTCTTTCGATGATTTGTTTGTTTGAGGTTCTCGACTTGCGTAATAGAATTGATGATATTGATAATTATATGACAAGTTTGAACAGCGAAATCGATAGTTGGCAAGGGCTAATGAGGAGGTATAAAGAGATAAACAATAAAAGTATTGAGTAAGAACCCCAACAAAAACCAAACATAAGATGTATCATTGAAGACTACCCTTAAAAAGACCTTCCAAAGGTGTATCCATGCCCGAGCTAACAGGATTAAGACCAAGGTATTTATTAAATAGAGCAGAAAAGCTCTTTTTTGATCGTTATACTGAATGTAATAAGGTTTGTGTTTGGCATTTGTCCAGTAAGTTCTTTCTTCGTTTCAGCAAAAAGATATTGATGTATTAACGGAACAAAAAGAAAAAGATCTGAAAGAAATAAAAAAATATGTAAGTGAAATGATTACAAGAATTACATACGATTCAATTTAGGATAAAGCTATCGCCTCCCTACAATCCCTCTACAATGAACAACCATTAGAACAAATTGAAGCTGATGGAAAGGCTTGGGGTGAAATTATGAAGAAGACGCAATCTCATTTACATGATCTATCTATTAGAGAATCTGTTGCTCAGCAAACCGTTTAAGAATAAGTAAATATTTATTTCCAACCTTTAATTTGATCTATGGTTCAACAAAAAAAGAAACAACACCAAACAGAAGAGTAAAAAGAGTAACCAGTAAGCCTTGTTAGGTTGCACCTAGAAGGAATAGCTAAACTACAAAACGTCAACAGTATAACCCAGGTGCTTCAATTTGGCTTTCCCGAATACTGTAACAGAGCAGATTCCTGAATCAGGCAACAGTTCGGATAGTTTCAAATTCAGTGGAACAAAGAAGTTCATGAACATCTAAGAGAGTGCGCAAATCCTTAACCTCAGTTTAACAATTTTGGAATAGAAAACATTTCCGAAATAAGGTTTGTCATTCAATACAAAAAAGGGGAACCAGAAAATGAAACACCACCTTAGAATGCCATTCATTAAAACAAAAACATAGGAAAACATAACAACAACATTTTAATCTTGATCTTCAGCCACTGAAGCAACAGTCTTCTCCGTACTTAAAGGTAAAGTAATCTGTTCTTCAACTAACTCCTCAGCATTCAATTTAGCGTCAGTATCAACTCCTGCGAGGGAGCTCATCAGAAAATATTGATCAAACTAAGGCTTACCTCCTCTCAATTCAATTTTTTTGTCCTTTTGTGAAGAGATAATATCCAGATTCTTTTGTCGTATAAGGTTGAATGCAGCCATGATCTTTCTTCTCTTCTCAACCACTTCTTGACTAGCTCGGTACTTTTCTTCATTATCTTCACGATCAAATCTAACAGCAGTCTTCTTGAGATTTTTCTTGATTTCCTGAATACAAGTATGTTTAACACTGATTAAACAAGGAAATAATTACTTTCAACTTCAAATCTGATAACTTGACTGGTGGACGAGGCCTCCATTCAAACTGAGAGAGCCTATCCAAATTTTTACGACATAACTCACGTCCCTAGAGTTCGAAAACTATAACAGTTAACAAATGGTAACAAACTTGGAAAGTATAAATTCTAAAAGCGAGATCAGCTCCAGTTCTTCCACCCAAAGTTGTGCAAGTAACAAAGTAACGTCCAGTTGGATCCCAAACTCCCTAAAAACAAGGAAGCAATGCAACTTGAAAACAGAAGAACTTGAGAAACAAACTTTGTTAAATCCGGGATGTTCGACAACATTGGTACGTTTAGCCTCTTGAAGAGTAGCATCAACGAAAACAACGTTTCCTCCTGTTGATAACTTTGCTAAAACAGCTAACCAACCTCCAGACGGAGCCCAAACAACCTAAACATAATGATGAATTCCGAAATTCACAATAGTTCACCTCATTGAATTGAACTCCAGCATCTAGTTTACTCATCAATTTAAGAGGGTGTGGACTTTTTGAGTCGATCTTGTAAACATGAGGAGTAGCCTTGGCCTGGTTACCAGTGAGAACACAGAACTTATCACCTATAACAATACTTTTGCATCATAAATTGAAGCATAAAAATTTACCATTTGGCTCCCAACCGAAGTTGATGAATGGATCAGGTAAGGGCAAGTTCATTAAAGAAACATCTTTCTTATCCAGTTCGAAAATTTCGAGATGATAAGAACATCCACCCTATATGATTTTACTATAATTAGAAAGGAGAAAATGACTTACCACATATTTCACTTCTCCAGTTTCTCTGGTCTGCTTCTTAGAATAACTGAAAAAAAGTATGAATTGTTGCGAAGACGAATGGGAAACAAACCGTTTAGTATAGACTGCAAGTCTTTTTCCGTTTGGTTGCCAGAACATTTGAGCTTCGGCCACATTGTAAATGCGACCAGATCGGAGCTTACTATGTGTTGGGACTTGCATGAGACCGAACTCAGCAGGTAAACTGTCTGTGCACTATTAACACAGTATGTATAAGAGGAAGTCATATTCGAAGAAATACCTCTGAGTAATATGCAATAACATTTTGGGTAGGACTCCACTGGAAGGACTGGATATTCTCGATGATAACGTGACGCTTATCAACAAGACCGAACTTCTCCGTTTCGAAAACAGATATTCCATTTACCTGTAGATAAATCCTTTCTCAAAAACGAAAAAAAGAATCCCAACCTTCTTTTCTTTCTCAAGTTTGTCTTTTTCAGGAGCCTTGAGGCAAGCGAAATACTTTTCATCATGAGACCATCTAGGAAACAAGTTATAGAATTTTTCTGTTCTTTATAAACATACTGGAAGAAAGGCCAGAAAGGAAGCTGATTTCTGTTGGTGAGAGCATAGAGTGAGAAAGTCTTCAGGAGTTCTCCTGTTCTCACGTCCCAAATCCTCAGGCAATCATCATCATTTCCCCAATGCATCTTCTCAGTTGGATTTGCATAGGTGACCAAGTACCTTAAATTCATTATCAAGAATACCTAATTGAAATAAGAATATTACTTTTCACAAGGCGAGAAATCAACACATTGAACAGAATGATGAGCAAAACGTTGACATCTTGTATAATCTGGTCCTCCCCAAAGGATAACTCCTTGAGAGTGAACTGTAGTCATGTAAGAGCCATGAGGAGACCATTTGAAAATAGTTTCAGTCCAAGACTGAAAATAAACTTTTGTTGAACCATTGATGGAAAGAATTAGAACAGCTGAGCCAAAATGTTAAAATAAAGAAATTGAAAAACACATGGCGCATGTATCTACGTGGAAAACGGGCGAATAACCAAAATTAACAACATAAAACGGAACCTACATTTCTTTCAGCCTTGGCAGTATCTCCAGCTAATTCTGGTTCATGTCCTTTGATGTGCCAATAGACACCGACAGTTGGAACACCATTCTTCTCAAAGTGAACTGCAAACTGATCGCGACAACGACTGTTCTGCATCCACCACCACAAATCTCCCTAGGTATACATAATAACCCTACATAATAATTAAAAGAATCTTACTGGATCACTGAAGGGCTGTTGTTGAGGAGGAGCCCAATCAGCTGGTGGCTGCTCAACCTTAACCAAATCGTTGAAAAGGGAGGTAGAGAAGGTATGGTTCTTGTCAAGCTTGTAGCCATCGAGTACACCTTTAGCATACTCGGCAGACTCTTTGTCCTTCCACTCGATGAAGACACATCCCTTAAAGGCAATACAATGTTAACATAAACCAAAAAGAACTCACTTTAGTTACTCCTTCATCATTTTGAGGAATGTGAATTTTATACTCACTGTTCACAGTGGCAAAAATCTTGTTGAGCACAGCTTCCAACTTTGGAAAGCGTTCAGGTCCAACAGAAGGGATTCCAAATATAACAGTACAGCATTGTTCGTATTCATCAATGTTTGGCTTCTGTCTCAGGACATCAGGAACCAATTCTTCATAATTGATTACACTAAGCACATAAAAAAATAAAACTACCTTCGTTGGTGATGCTGTCCACGTAATCTTCAGGATCAGACATACTTGGCATCTCCTCATTTTCCTTGTTAAGGTCGGCTTCCACCATTTTGACCTAATAAAAAATAATAATGTAAAGTTCTTAAATAAATTCCATTCAGTTAACCAAGAACATTATGCAATTCGTCAGCACAGAATGTGTAAAATGGTCCCGCAACGAAATACACAGCGCACTCGCCATACACCGGGTTAAAAGTATGATCGTTGGTTAAAACCGATAAGAATAAGAAAAATATAGAAATTCCTTCATTTACTCCAAACAACATAGATACTATAATCTACAAATTTACGGAGTCTAATCTAAAGTCCAGCACGGAGAACAGCGTCATTGATGATGTTCTTTCTCTCAGCAGCCTTCTGAGCTTGGAGGGCCTTGGCCTATAATCATAGGATAATAAGATTGAAGATATGCATTTGTAAACCTTCTTGGCAGAGTTCCACTTGGCGAGGAAATAAATTCCGACGTAGCTAGCCAAGGCACAACGGCAGATCATCATTCTACCGAAGTGCTCGTGGGGGTTAAGATAGTTGCGCTTGGCAGTGACAATAGATTGCCATACTCCACGAATAGCGTCGGCCATGGTTTCTGAAGAGTTAATCAATGTAAGATAAAAGCAATAGTTGGAAGTATGAAAGCGTCTCGTACACTTGAGGAAGAAACAAAGTCACAACATACATATTAATAATTAGAATAATTAATAAATCCATGTATGAAAGAGCTTATATAGTTCTAAGAACAAAAGGTGTGGGCAAAGAGGAACACGAGCCACATAAATGAATAATCACCATTAATCTACCCATTATGGCCATATAAATGCAATAACTCAATTAACAAATTAACAGGTTCTATAGACATAGTGAGAAAATCGAAATGGATAAAAATGACCAGAAATAAAATTGAGAAACAACCCGTGACATTAGTATTATCTTCACTCGGTACATTTGTGAATGGATTTGGCAAGTAAGGCGCCGTTGCTGGTACTCTTCAAGTCTCTTACACAAAACACTATCCATTCCCTCATTAATACAATATGCTCCATGGAAATTTTAAACTTTGAAAACCACTTTTTACAAATATTATCCCTAAATGAAACACGTTTAAACTCAAAAGCATGGTATAAACGAACCAAGAGGTTGAACTATATTTCGCAGAATTTGAATCGCTCCTGAACCATTTAACAATAGGAGAATCCAAATCCGCGCGTCTAAGTGACATTGAAAAAACTAAACTCAAGAATATATCCCAACAGAACTGAAAAGATATCATTAGGATTGTACTTATTAAGTTCCCTTACATTGTGATTATTTCCTAATACTTCTGACAGACTTTCCACGGCAATGGAAGAGAGAACAACAAGTATATCAGAAGTTTCAAGTCTACTGACAGCTCTGTGTATTCCATTAATAAGCACACAAGACGCCTGAATTTGGAACATATACATATGGAACACTATTCTGTACTCACTTCGTCAGACTGAGATTTTGTCAAGGCAACGTTGTTATTAAAAATACTAGATAACAGTAATCCCAAGTTTGGTGGGAAGCAGACTTGAACGAGACGAGAGAACAATAGCTTTCCTTTATTAATCTGAATAGGAGAAGTATGACACGGTTGGGTCATTAAAATCTCACCTGTAACACCTTTGGAAGGTCATCCCGTAACAGGTCTGCATATATAAGCTGAACAGCATCATCAATCTCTTTGACAACATCGTCCCTGGAATGGAAAAAGGTTTGATTGAAACATCAGGACACCAACTTAATCGTAGGATCGTGTTGCATTGCTATCCGTCTATCATTAATTTGAATGACAAGAGCTAAAGCTGCTTCCAAACGCAATAGTAAAGATCTTAGCTTCCTTTGAGCTCCCGATTGAAGTTTATTACTTTCATTTTCATCATCGTTGTTGTCAGGAATGCTAACACTGATTAACTGAAACAAAGTAGCTAGAACAAGTAGATAAAAATGTTAAGTACGTGACGTGGATTAGAAGTGGTACATTTCGAAGGCAACCCTAAACTTCCAGCAAACTTCACGTTTAGAGGGATCTTCTCCTCTTTTTCAGATCGGTTTTCCTTAATTCTGCGGTTCTGAATGCAGAGGGTTTGATCGGATTTTCCGATATTCAGTCTAACCTTTCCATTTTCTTCATGCTCAGGAGATTTTTTCTCTCGTGGTTTATTAATATTGATTTTGGCTAGAACATTACGCTTTTGTCGCCAACACTGAATTACATCAAGGTTTTTCTTAATGTTTAATTTTTCTTACTATATAATAATAATCCTCCTCATAAGGGTTTCCATTTCCTTGGCATTGCAATCCTTGAATTCTTTCTAACCACTGTCGTTCTTTGCAAGACATGAAGCCTGCGAACTTATCCAGAGCAAGATCTTCAATCGTCCTTTCAGATGGCATTCCAGCTCTTCTGTAATTGCTCTGAAACGAAATATTTGATATGCACCGGATTAAAAAAATTATACCGTTCTTCCATGTGGCATATAACTCATTTGCTCTAAATGTTGAGGAGGGATGTTAGCTGCGCGCAGTAACATCATAGCAACAATTTTCGGGTCCTGGAATAAGATGTCCTCAACTTCTACGAAAACTCACAAACCTTGCATTGGTGGAGCTTATGTAGGATCATAGGATGAATAGGGGGTACATTAGGAGGTAGGAACTTAGTTTTTCCTATCAATTGGTTATACCAATGAATAACATATTGGCGAAGATCACGAGGAATGGGTGGAAACTCTGGCTGAAGGAAAGGCTGCTGAGAATACCCAGTCGAGTTCTAAAACGTAAGATCGAAATAAACGATGTAAATATATTATTATACCATAGAAGGATACTGGCCAACTAGCCCCCTGTTGAAATGAGGGGGGAAACCTGGAGGTAGGTGGCTTATTTGAGGTTGCTGAGATTTTTCACTAGGTGTTCGAGAAGCATTATGGAGCTGAGCTTGCATTTGATGGAAAATTTGGGCTTGGGCTTGAGCTGATAAATTGAACTGAGCTTGAAGAGCTTGGAGTTGGGGAATCAAGGCAGGTGGTAGGGCACCAGAAGGTAATTGTTGGTTAGGTAACGGAGAGCTTTTAGAATGATCCGTGGCGGATGATCTCTCTTTTTGGCTATCATTTCTGACAAAGTTTTTCTCCAGCTCTTCAGCAGATAATGCCGTTGACGGGATACTTGGAATAGGTCCTCCTGGTACGCCAGGCATCATAGGAATGTTTAGATCTGAGTGTTGCGTCAAAGGATAACGATTTTCGCGAGCTGGGGGTGAAGGAGTTCTATGAAATCCTTTTTTCTTCGTCATATCTTTTTTAGACTCCATGGACTGAAAACAACACAAGATAAATGCAAGTAAATCTAACGTACCACTTTCGTTGCGTTAATAGGAAACTCTCCGAAGGGACTTGTGAGATCAGTTTTGTTAAAATCCCAAGAAGGAGAAGCAAATTCAGGATTCTTAAACTATAGGATTACCTCGTTAGAACGTTATAAAACCATACGTTAATTCCTGATGGAGTGAGCAGAGAGAAGCTCGACTTCTCTTGCTTATTGCTATCCCACAAATCCATCAAAGAACTTTGATCATTCCAAATTCTTTCTAGCTTGTTCTTAAACTAACAGTTAACACAAAATTAAAGACAAAAACATACGAATTTGAGGTTGACCAAGTCTTTGTCAAATAGATTCATGCCAAAATCGGGAATAGGCAACTGAGAAGGATCAGGAGCGTCTACATGGAATCCTGACTTGTCCCAGTTATCTTCTAATCTCAAACATGCTGTCTGAAGAGCAAGATTGAAGTAATAGGGTTGAAAATTACAAAAGTACTTGTGCAGCATAATCTTCAAGCTCATCTCCACCACCAATAATTTCGGCTCCAAAAGTCTCATCATTGTTAGCATCGATTTCAGACTCATCAGCTCCTCCAAACTCTTTTTCAGGAAGCTCGCCTCCAAAACAAAGGTAAAAAAAATTTGAACGAATGAAAAATGCTTACCGAACATCAGTTCCCCCTCAGCATCATCAATGTATTGGCCCCCAAAGGGCTTGTTCATGTTAGTAATAGTGATAGAGTAAGAGGATTAAATATTAGTATTAAGATGTCCTGAAATTAAAATTTACTAATTAATACTGCACTGTTAGAGACGAATTATGTTGAAATACAAAACAAACAACTTGTTAAAAACAGTAAAAATCTTGATACACCGAAATAACCAAAACCGCCCGCACGGTCTATAGCACAATCGTGGCGAGACCTTTAAATCAAAAATAGCCGCTGCTTCTCCGAGACTTTAGGTTCTGGCGATCAACCCAGATCTTAGCTGCACATAAAACATCTTTTTATATGTGAAACAAAATTGGATCCAATATATAATAATATTTCAAACCATAAAATGGGCGTTTGTTTGGATTATTTGTACTTAAAATGTGTTTATATCCGGTGCGATATACGGGGAAATTATTGGAATTCACCCATGAATGTTCATAATCAATGAGAAGTATACAGAATTATTATCCAGTAGTTTTTGAGAGACAAATATTAGACGTTGTTTGCAAAGATAAGAACAATGAATAAGAACCAACTTCTGTTTTATATGGAAATATACAACTCCCATGCATTCATAGAAGCTCACGTTTTCGGATGCAACGGAAAATAATTTCTGGTTTCGCTGTCTTCCGTTGAACAACTGAGGTTTCGCGCAAATACACGTTCACTATGACGGCTATTTGCTATGACAAATGTTTCCTATTTTCTTGCATTCTACGCTGAGTAGCGATATAATCTTTTCAACTTACTTCGATGTTGTTGTCTTTTAAAGTAGTCTAGCTTCATAAACGTTGTTTCCAACATTTGCTGACAAAACTATAGTTGAGATGGATCTTCCTTTTGGTTACGTCTACGATGACCGAATGCTTCTTCATAAATGTCATTATGACAATACAATGGCTGAAAGACCTGAAAGAATGAGCTTGATTTTCGAGAGATTACTTCATGATAAATTGTTAATTGGAAGCTTGAAGGTTTGCATTTCTTTAATTGAAACTTTCATGAATACTACCTTGAGATTGAATCTCGCCCAGCTACTGATGAAGAGCTGCTCATCAACCATCCAAGAGAACTTCTCTCGGAGCTACAAGACTTGAAAACTTCAGATGATTGTGAAGAATATTGTCGGTAAAACTATCGGTGATTTTTTCCGTTCTTTATCATTAACATTTTAAGCGATAAAGAAATTTTGTGGCTCAGTCCGGAAAGTGAGCAGGCTGCAAGACTGGCAGTTGGCTCATCGATTGATATTGTCAAAGCGAATATTGATAAGAAGTAATTTTCTCATTTAGAAAAGCTCTTATAATGATCGTCATCTAGAATTGGAAACGGTTTTGCTATTGTTCGTCCACCTGGACATCATTCGTATGGGAAAATTTCTCAGGGCTACTGTGTTTTCAACAATGTGGCTATTGCTGCTAAAGTTGCATTAAAGGATTTCGGAGTCAAAAAAGTTAAAAAATAGTGAGAGACCTGGATAAACACCGTTTTGAAGATTGCCATAGTTGACTTCGATTACCATGCTGGAAATGGCACGTTTTATTCTGTTAAGAATGAAGAGAACATAATGTTTGTTTCACTACATTCATACTGCCATGCAGCTTTCTGGCCATTCATGAAAGAATTCGACTTCGATACAGGAAGTTCTCTAAACCTCTTAAAAATAAGTAATACAAAAACAATATCTTCACACAGAAAACACTATATTCTTTCCCCTTAATGGAGCTATGAATACGGAAGTTGATTTTATGGCAGCATTTCATCATGTGATTCTTCCAATCCTAAAAGAGTGGGCTCCTGAAGTAAGAAATACTAAAAAAAACTTATTCCTCCTACTGTACGTTTAGCTCATTTTGGTGTCAGCCGGCTTCGACGCTGGATTCTATGACATTATGCTTGAAATGGGACAAGCAGTGAAAGCTCATGGGCATGGAAAAAACAGAGACAGCGTGGCTCAATTAACAAATTTTTTAGATTCGGTCACATAGTACGTTGTCTCAACGAAATCACACCTGATCATGTGATCGCCATATTAGAAGGAGGCTATTTCCCTCGAAACTATACCGAGTCTGCAGCAATGATGGTGCGAGGACTGAAGGTTTTGTTTCAATTGTATGAATTGTTGGAGAAACAATAAAAATAATTCAAGGGTCTGAAATTACCCAAAATTGATTACTCTATTCCTGTTGCGGGTCCGATGATAGAAACAATATGGAATAATGTTATCCATCATAAAAAACATTTCAATTGTATGGAATTGAAAGAACGCCTACTTCAAGCACAACAGGTATATGACTTTTTCGAAAATTTGACAATTGATGTCAGGAAAAAGTTGGACTCTTACCGTTCATGCCGAAGACGCAGATCTATTTGGGTGGAGGTAGAGAAAATTTTTTTTAGAAACCTAAATGAGTTATTGCAGAGATGAGAAGGATGTACGATAAAGTGAAGAAACGAAAAGCCGTCAGGACACGAGAGTGGTTCCCCGAATTATCTCCAGAAGCTGTAGCGAAAAGTACCAAAAAAATTGATGAATATATACATGTAAGAGAAAATTAAAAGACATGAAAACATAATTTACTCTTAAAGAAGTACAAATACGAAGAGAAACCAGAAAAGTATTTCTGTGATCTGAATGTGAAGTTGGAACAATTACTTTGGACAGAGCAGACGGAAGCGGACTACTTCATTCGGTCAGCTGAAACAACTTTATTTTTCGTGAACGACTTCCGAGATTTCGTAGAGGGTATTCTTATTAGAATAGCTGAAACAATACAAGTTTTACAGGCAGAAAAAACCATACGATGATATGTGACAGAGAGCTCTACGACATCGAAAAAGATGAACGAAAGAAATGATATTATTGTTTAGCTTCAAATGCCAGCTGGGAGATATTTTTTTTTATCCAAGTTTTTTAGATAGGGAGATAATGGGAAAAGTCCGTATGCCTTTAGACAGGATGAATGTATGAAAGAGTATTCACAAGCCTTCAAACTGTCTCCGTTTATTTCATAGAAGAATAAAAAATAATCTTGTCTGAAAGAGGGAACTTCATATGAAAACATTCAACTACACAATAAACCTGGCAATAGCATGCAGTAGTGAGAGCATGTCGTATGCGAGTCCGTGCAGTTCTATGAACACCTGTGAAAAAAAGAAAAGATGGTATGACTCAAATGAAATACCTGACAAGGTTTGTGTTTCTGCAAAAAGGGAACAATGACTTGATATTCAGCTCCTTCGATATCCATTTTAAGCATTTCCATACTCTCCACACCATTTTCTCTCATACAATCTTCTACGAACAGACAAAACATGCATTGACAGACAAATTCACTAACCTATGGTGAACATATTCGCTTGGGTATCTGTTCTTTCAGCAATTGTCTTTTTATACAACTTTCCGTTTATTTTGGAATAATCTAATCGGGTTGAATCAGATTGAGCAATCTGAAATGGTAAGTAGAAGGATCTGTGCGTTAGATTTCTTACCATATCGAACCCATACAATTCACAACTGTTTTCATTGAATTCTTGTAGATCGCGATCAAATGATATATCTTCCCGAAGACCCAGTGAGAAAATGCTAGAAAGAAACAAGTCGAGAGTTGAAAATTTATATTGAGCTACCTGCAGTTCCTAGGCATCTCTGCCGGATTACACACCCATTTTCCTCCATCGTTCACGTTTCCAACTCGAATCAAGTTTGGACAATAAACCTATGACATTAGCATTGCTAAAGAAGAAAATACATGTATACCTCTGGCACCAAAACATTATACAAAGTGGCAAACCCTGACTGAGCGGTTATGGAGTTCAAATGCATCACCCGTGCATGAGCATACTTAGAATAATAATCGCGTAAAAATTGTACGGACAATAAGGAATCTGAGAAACTGAGAAATGGGACAAAATTCAAAGATTGTAACTAACTCTGTTTTTCATTCTCAATAAGTATCCTTTCAGTTTCGTTGTTCTTGAATTGGAAAGTAGGACCTTAACATAGTTGTACAACGATGACGATAATACGATTCTTCAAACATACTAAATGTGTAATTGATGCTGCTCTCGAAAAAGCAGAAGACATAAAGAGCAGAAGAAAATATAGTCAAAGTAACTACGATAACAGCACAATGCACCATGATAAGTAAGACTAGTAAGACTGTACTCAGTACAAGAAAACAAGTGAATGAGATTGGTGGTGGATTATTATTGTCCAACGTGTTTCAGACAGCCACCTTCCAGAGAAGTACAATAGAAAGGAAATGATCAATTGTTAATGCATTAGATCTGAGGCTGTAAAAACATGAGATATGCCAATTCTTATAAGCACACAAGAATTAAATTTTTTGTTTACAAAAGCCGTAACCCTCTCTGATGTGGTGTTAACGAAGATCTCGTTGTCAACAAGTCGAAATATTTCATTCATTCGATTAGGAACGCATGGAGCGGTCGCACCACACGGTAAGCTGAAATTCATTTTTTGGTTGAGGATACTGCTCCATTAGTCGATATCTCAACTAATGACTATTAGATTTATTGATTGATTCGTAATTACATCAGAATCGTAGGGAAGTATTTATTAACTTAATGCTCAACAAGTGAATTTAGAAAATCGCAAATCGTCAAAAAATCAAAATCAAGAAATCCGAAAAACACTTTAAACAGTTGTATCGATAGAAATCATATTTCTATTTAAAGACGGAAGAATTTTTTTTTTCTTTGCGGAAATCAGGACGTTGTATAACAACTGTATCTTTAACAGTATTTCCATCTGTTCCGGCTGGAATAGGGTAAGCTCGACCATGAGGTGAGTCCAAAGGCACTCCGACGGCGTTAATGTATTTTCCTTTGTAGTCTTTCGAAACTTGAAAATGGTCACCCACTCTTCCATCCATAATTTTTCTGGCAAATTCGTCAGTCATCCTTGCTCAGGTGTTGTGAAGAGTTTCCTTAATAAATACTATTGTTTTGCAACGTGAATAAGGCGATCTACTATGTAGGAAATATTGGAAATTTATTATTATTGAGCATAAGAGATTGAGAAGAAGAAATAAGCATTTGTGATTGTGCCGAAGACCTTTTATAGTCTCAAAAAATGCTTTATCACTTTGTCATTGTTAGCTAAGGTTTAAATCTTTAAGTCTTTATCACTTCGTTCACAAATTTTATACTTTTAATGTACACAAGTTCACTTCTATAAGCCGAAATATCACTGAAATGTTAATGCATTAGATCTGAGGCTGTAAAAACATGAGATATGCCAATTGTTATAAGCACACAAGAATTAAATGTTCTGTTTACAAAAGCCATAACCCTCTCTGATGTGGTGTTAACGAAGATCTCGTTGTCAACAAGTCGAACATAGAAGATCCAACAACGAAATATTTCATTCATTCGATTAGGAACGCATCGAGCGCTTGCATCACACGGTAAGTCGAAATTCATTTTTTTGGTTGAGGATACTGCTCAGTTAATCAATGTATCATAACTGATGACTATTATATTTATTGATTTGTCCTAGCGTTTGTGATCATGACAAGGACCCGATATAGTTTGTAATGATTATCACTTGGTCATTATTAGCTATGATTTCTAATCGTCATATTATTGAGAAAAACACTGTCATAAAGTTGAAATCTGCACAAAAGCACTCTTAGCAGACATATCACTGATTAGATTTATGAAAAGTTTTTTTATAGTTTATTTCGAATATTGCATAATGAGACAGATTTTGAATATGGTCTAATGTACTGGCAGCTTATAATACGTACTTTGGGAAGGTAAAGCATCAAGTTCGATAGTTGGTAGAGGGATATGACGATGAAGTTTCTGAAAAGCGTAAAGTGAATTTTAGTAATATAGCAGTTTTGTACTTACCTGTAAAACAACAACATTCACATTCGAATCTAGAACTTCCACTGATTGATCTCTCTCTAATGCTGATGTAATAATTACTTTATTCTCATCGATCGGTAATGGATGTATTTCACTAGATTTTGTGCGGTGTCGTTTCTTGTTTTCCTTACCCTTTTTGGAAGCTTCGTCCATATTTTCCATAATAGGGTGGTTAGTTACAGGATTCTTATCAAGCTCGATCTGTTTTTGTAAAACTTCCATATGCGTGACTGGCTGCGATGCGCTATGGATAGGTGAAACAGTACTCACTTCCAAAGGGGCATCCGTAATCATAACTTCCACAACTTGTTGTTCCTCTTCTCTTTCAACGTCTTTGTGAATTATCAGGTCCTCCTTAGGTAGTTCAGGAGCCCTAAACAAAGGCTCAGGAGGTGATACTTCGATGTTTGTAATCAGTTGGGGGTAATCGTGTGAAGATGAAGGATTCCCTTGGGTGACAGGAGTGATCTGCGTCGATCTAGGTGTAGATTGTACAGGAACGATAACTTCCATACCATGTGGAAAATCGTCATTTGATTTGCTACCTGGTCCAATAGTTATTTCAAGGGTCGAGGTAGATATAGGCTGTATTATCATAGGAGTGTTTTCCAATTCTTGGGCACGGTCAAGAATTTCCATTTCTTCCGGGACCACGTCATAAGCATTGTATTCTGGTTTAACAGCCGGTACCATTTGATTAGAATTCGTAGAAGGTGAAAGTTGCGGTGAGGCTGTTTGTGGAGACGTAACGTCAACTCTAGCATTTTCATCATGGCGCAGATCTAGACAAGGACTCTGATGTTGCTGGCTAGTAGGTAATTCTAAGGGTGAATTATCTAGCTCTTTGCTCTTGTGTATTGTGAAAATTTCGTTCCTTGCAGATGCTGGACTTGATAAACAGCTCGCAGATGAGATATTTGATGGGCTCATGTCTAAGGCGCTATCACGTCCTGACGGGTCAATATCTACAGAGATGTTCTCTTCATTTCCATCCTTATTATTTTTTTCCCGTTTACGTTTGGGACGACGTAGTGAAGAAGTGTTATGAATGGAAACTGTTTTGCATGGTGATGATGGCTATAAACAGTAAAGTAGTTATAAAGAGAATATTTTGCTCTACCAATGTTTCGTCCAAGCTTTTCCTTGTTTTCTCGCGATTCTTCGGATCATTCTGAACAAGGTCGTAAGACTGGCTATTCCCCATGATAAAACTAAAAAATAATAGTCAGCATAAGTTAACATAGAAACTGAATGAGTTATTGGAGTACCACGGAAATGCAACGAGGCTTAGAGGAAGAGGCAAGAATAAATATTTTTGGGATCATACTCGTCAATTCTGGTTATCTATGTGCACAGAAGAAGAGCAGCTTTTTTTTCATGTGATTCTGTGAGGTGTTAAGAGACAAACGGACGAGTTTTGAAGAAAGATAGGCGAATATTTACAGATTATGCGAAAAAAGCCATATTATAATTGTACCGGAAACATTACATTTTATGTTTAAGGACAAGCGAAAGGAGGTCTCTCAGTTTTTTAAGGAGGGCAACATGGAAAGTTCAGCAAAATCTTGAAGGGATACATATACGGATCGAAAACGACACAGGTGGATACAAATTGTTGTTGACGAACAGCTTAAGCAATGTCAGAAAGAAGAGGATGACGATGTTCATGGGCAAATATATAACTGACGATTTGATGAATGTAGATGGCTAACACATAGAGAAGATGGCCTACAAATATAAATAGAAAGAATGATTTGACATAATCATGAGTGCTCTGAGTCATATTAGGATGAGCTCATAAACATCTGCAATCCCTAATGGTCTTTGAATAAATCATTAGAAGGAATCATCGATATTCAGTTCTGAACGAACAAGCCGACATCGACCTTTCACAACAAAAAAAAAGGAAAAAAAGAAGGATGAGAGGAATGTGATTTCATCAATACTTTATAGCTGTGAGATTGTTAAGTAAACATATAGGTTTACCAAAAAGATATTTTAAATGATATTTGTCTCTTATTAAATAAGAATGATGATAAAATCACAAAAAAGAGTTAATAGAATTACGAGAACACCGGATGATGAAGAAGAACAAAGGTTTATTTGAATAGACTACTTGTGATCTTATGAAAACACATTTCAATATTTCGATAGAACATTCCTATCACATGAGTGATAAGTAATAAATATTCTTCGAAAATATTCTTCATTGAACTGATTGGTCAAGAATGCCAAATATGAATAAGCCAAGCCTCTGTCAATAATAAACGAGCGGATTAAGCGTGGTCATGCACCAGAAGATGTTCCAACTATTTCATCAACCTGCTTATACAACGAAATTCTCGTGTTAACGAAATTAAATACTATGAAAAGAGCAACTAACGACAGGAATGCTGAGAGATGCACATTGTGTGGAACAGATTTTGATGCGAAACTTAACGTGAATAAGCGAGATGGTATTGAAACTGAGAACGTTTTGCACAAATACTCAGACGAAAGACAGTCTCACATGCCAAACAAAACTATTTTATGGCTTTTAAAATAGTTCATATTATTAAGCGAAAAACGATTAGGCCAACTCTCGAACGAATCGATTGATAAATTCAACCAAGTTGCAGGAATGTGAGTTTCAAAAAGGAAGTAGGTGGACAAAACAGTAAATGTCTACATGTTTACAAAGACATATTGATAAAGAAAAATTGACAAAGGATTTCAATATTTCTTTTTTTCAATGCACGTCGTTTTTATTTCCTATGAGGGAAAATATTAAAGTAGTAAACGCACTGTTACTCTTGGGAACGCCCATGTGTAGAGGATGAATCAGAAGATGTGGGCAGTGTCTATTCTGTCACCTTTCTGTTTTTTCTTCTACAGAAGACGTCATCGTTCACTTTCTCTAAACCGTATACATCTATACATAGCTGAAACGGATCAAAGGTCAAATTATAAAACGTTCTTGAGAAACCAAACTTGGATGAGAAAGAGCATCATGAGTAGCATGACTTGATATTTACTTTAAAACAGTTTATTGTGAAGAGAAATTCAAAAAGAGACGAATAACACAGTATGACAATTCAATCGTTAAGTTTCACTTTCACTATGTGAGCATGTCGGAAACTCCCAAGGTAAAGATGATTTCCTAATCGCACAGCCTATAAAACAGCTTTAGAGGCACAAAAAAGCGAAAACACAAACTTGAGAAACATCTGTAACCACTTGCCCAGTTGGATCTTGGTAAGACTTTGTAATTTTTCCAGACTCATTGAAGACTAAAATGATTCCATACTTCGTAGAAACGTATTCGAAGATTGGATTCCAGAACCTCCCATCAAACATCTGCAAGTGTCAAACTGTTCGATTTAAGAATTTTTGGATAAAAAACCTTAACGAGGAAATAACGTAAATTCGTAAAGCCTCCTATTCTTTCTAATAAGGATTTCTTCTCACTGTGACGTACAGCTAAACCGAGTCTTTCTTACATGAACTTATGAACTAAACCTACATGCTAAAGCAACATAAATATTTCCACTATCATCAGCTCGGATATTATCAGGTAATCCTGGTAAGTTCTCAGCAAAAGTACTAAGCTTGAGAGTTTTTAAATTCAACCTAAAACATTAGATGAACCGTAAGATTTATAAACAAGTCCAACTTCTTAATTCTTGCCATTGAACATTCAGATATCAGGACGTTTTGCTTATCGCTGGTTAATTGTATTCCATTTGGGAAATAGAGATTGTCTACTAGAACTTTAGTTTCCTTTGTAGATATTTTGTGTAGTAATACTCTTAAGAAAAAGTTGAACATGTTGAAAAGATGAAACAAAACATACCTTCCTTCTGGAACATTTTCCAATAGAATTCTCATAACATTTCGTCTTTCCCATTTGGGTGAGCTGTCACTAAATATGATTTCGTCTTCGTTTATAATCTAAAACATGATACTATTACGTGCAGTCGGATAAGACAAACATCTAAATCGTTCAGGAATTTCAATGGCTTGCCATCGATGGGTATTCTGCTATCCACAAGAAGGGTTGAATTTTCTGGAAACAAAAACTATGAAGCAGAAAGCAAAGAGCGGAAAGCAACAGCCCTTTCTTCTCTCCCGGAAAAACTTGTAAACTAACTTTTAGACATATCAACCAAAAATAGTCCAAAGTAAGCATCGACAACTACGAACACCTCATTTTTTACCCTTCTCAATCCTAAAGGTCTTCCACAGCGGGGCTCAGCTTCGAAAGAACCTGTACAAACATCACATGGGTCATAAGAACGTATTTGAAGGCTTTACCGCATCCTTGTTGCTGGCGCAATCTTAATCTTTCGACAATTTTCCCATCTTTAATCTTCACTATTTCTCCGGAATGCAGTGTGGCATAGATATGATCTAGAAATATTCACATGCTCCATATTCCAACAATCAAATGCATTTATTTACACTTCCCAATCAACTCACTTTCATCAACAACCAGAGACTCCGGACCTACTATTTGATTTTTGAGAACGTACTCACTGTTCTGTAAAACAGTGTTTGGTGCAAGAGGACCAACCAACTCAGGTGGATCGGGCAAACTGAGAGAAACCCCTCCAATAAATAGTCTAGGAAAATCAACAACGAACTCACATAAATGTTCTAATATCAATTTCTTCTTTCAAATCTTTACGTAGAAAAAGGAATACTCCTGACAGTATACAACCACTGAAAAATAAGAGGAATAGAACGTATAAAATTGGAAATAAGGAAACCCACAGCAGTCCTAGGAAAAATAAATTTCGTAGCATGTTGAAGAACCTCTATTGATTTACACAATTAATATGTCACTTATTGCGAACTGCCTAGCAAAAACTTATTTCAATGGAACAAGCATTCACGTTTATAAGATATTCTGAGCAGATAAAGTAATTTGATAAAGCAGCAAACTACAATTGGAACAAACATCGACGTTTGTGAAACGTTTATTGCAATAGACAAAAGGAACAATCGACAAACTACAGTATCGTTTAATTGGTTCCTGCTACACCTGTTTCGAATTCCTGATTCCTTTTCTCACTTTAAAACCGCTCAGATAAGCGGGCTGCAAAAGTTTTCCGTTGCCGGTTAACCCGCGGTCATCAACTTCCTTGGAAGTTCTTCACGCTCGCAACCTGCTTATACTCCTTTCACCGCGGACGACTTGTGTCGAAGTTTAGGAGATAATGTGAAATACAAACTACAGAAAGGATTCTGTGTAGTACGATTTCAACTTAACTGCTCCTTTCGAAACAAACTGAACATCTACTGCGCCGTATGTCAGGCGCGTGTAGTTTTAACAACAAGCCTGCTACTTTGATGTCTGGCACTCTCCACTCGAACTTGTGTTCCGTTGTTCGGCTGTCTCTGATGACTCCAAAACAATGTTTAAACTTATAATAAGGTAGAGCTGAAACAATAATAAGTATAAAGGAAACGCTATTAAGAAAGGAAAACTTTCTTTGTTTTCCTATTTGTTGTTATAAATTTTGAAAAGTTTACTTTAAGTTGTTGAACTTATGCTGAAAGCATACACTCACATAGAGTTGGTTAAAACGAGTTTATTTGTGTATCATGGCCATGACCGATTGCAAGATGGGCATGAAAGACCCACTACTTATATAGGCAAAAGAACGTCTCGTCTATCTCAATCCAATCACCTAGTATTATCATTCTGTAGTCTGTGTTTGATTATAGAAACGATGAAATGGTTTATAATGGTTAGTTCTTTCATTTTTGAAGACATTTCATTTGTCTCTCATTTTTCACCATCTTTCTTCAGCTCGTCGTCATCCCTTTGATGGTCTATGCTTTGGGGGATACTGCCTATGATGATGACACAATTGAAGATGAAGTTATAGAACATCACGAATGTAAGGAAAGGCTAACATTTAATCACTGAAACACGTATATATATATAAAGGTGCTGCGAATGAAGTTTGGATGGAGTGTTCGTCGTCTGAAGACGAATGTGGCAAACCTCCAAAGGTAATAACTCGAGTTGAAGGACTTTTATTTGTTTTGATCAACAGGCTCGTATTCGACCATGCCAGCCTGGTCGCTGCCAGTGTCCATCTCACAAAGGATTCAAAAGGAACGAAAAGGGAGATTGTATCGAATGTACATAGATATGACACCTTAATAAACAGTTCTCTCATCTAATTGTTCTCCGCTTGTAAGATATTAATTGGTTGCTGTAGTTTGAGAAAAGAATATCATTTCGAAACATCTTGAAAATAAGTTTTTTCTCCGGTTTACACCTAATTTGGGATGAGAGATTACCTGTCGGAAATACCTCATCATACAGTAGACAATGACCAAAATATTTTGTCGGTCTAATAAACATATTTACCGAACTGAAGAGGAACATTTAATGAAATCTCTGCCGTTTAAGTAGTAAATGATTGTCGTTTTTTGTTATTCGGGAGGAAGGACGAGTTTTCTATAAAAAGTGAGTCAAATTTTAGATACTTATCTCCCATATTCAGCCATTGAAAGTTTGTTCTGAACTCTGAGTGTATCTGATTATAGAATCTGCTAATTCTGGTTCAAGAAATCAGATGGAAAGAAGCCAAATAGCCACAAGTTTCTTGAACAACTCAATGAAACATCCCTATATAATGACTAAACAAGCTAGTTCTCTTCCTATACCTTGCCTCAAACTATAGACTGGAAGTTCAGTAATCTAAGTGATCAACAGCTTATCACCGACGAATAGGACTGCTGACCTTGTCCTTGGCACATCTGTATCCTTTTCATTTCTTACTACCTTGTTCGTTTCGTTCTTGTATCTCTTTTTTCTGGAATATTTACATCTAATTTGCATTTATGAGTTCTGGGTCATCCCATCCAGCTAGTCTCGATTCTTAGATATCCATCCTTTGCACCGTGTGCGTTGTGCCAAAAAGCTAACCGATGTTTCAAAAGCAGAACACTTTCTTTTTTAGAATGATACAACATGTAGTGATATGAAATGTTAATCTGAAATTGTGTCGTAATAATCTCTCGCAATCCACAAACAACGTTGTTCTATTGAATAAGCAATATCAATTGTTCAAAATAGGTCACCTGTCAAATGGGTTTCCAGCCTCTTCTTCCATCATTTCATTTTCGGCACAATCTGTGTTCATCATGTTTCAATAGCTCTCAATTGTTATTAATTCTATAAAACCGTATCTCCCGTTATTACAAGTTGTCTAATTTCTCAACCAAAAAGGAACTGAGTAACCTTTTCCACGAGAAAGATAATCAAATGTCTCCGATTTATCATTGATGTCAATGTCAAGATCTTCAGAAGTTAACAGAAGAAAACGACTCATTCGATCTTTTCTCGTTTCTTCTTTGCCCTTTACATCATATGTTCTCACAAAATGATCTCCTCTCAGATCAAAATGATATCATGAAGCTACTCCAGAATCTGTGCACCATCCGAAAATGTTGAAAGGCTGCTTGAATCTTCGAAGATTACATAACAGATAAAAAGCTAACCATTGTCGTCTTTTTTCACTTCTCTGTTCGTAGGCATTCCTCATAATCTCGTAATTTATTCGCAATCTGAAATATAAATTCCGTCTACCCTGAGAAGAACTACCTGAAACTTGATCGGCATGTTATTCGAAAAATTATATCAACTTGGAGGATCTTCTGCCCCAAAGCATAGATTCCTGTATTGTTTTCTCAACATTTGACTGTTTCCAACTACTTCCATCTAACTTTTCATCAACCTACCGTTTCTTATCTTTCCTCTCGTTACTTTCGTTCACCAACTTCCCTCCATTATGCTTCAAGTTCTTTGATACCTTCCAATGTCGTCTTCCAGTTCCTCTCAATATACAAATTTTCCAGTTTTCAGCAATCTTTACCCATCTATCTTCACCTCTAATTTCATTTGCCAATCTTTACCAAGTATAAGTTCATGTGATGAAGTTACAGGCAAACAGTCAACTAGATCGCCGTCATCGACTGGAAATTCATTTGACCTCTATTACCAAATTTCAGAGCAGCTTTGATGCTACTTACCTTCTTCTCCATCGTCGCAATCACTTTTCTATAATTCGGATAATCTTAATTTGTTGGCTAACCGCGTAACATCTCTCACAGTTTAACCATTACTAACAAAAGTTTCACCTTTTTCAAACTGACAGAGATGTCCAACTTGATGTTAAAAGCTTCATTTGGTTGTTCCTGAGTTTCATCTGTTCACTCCAATGATCTTCTCTGATGTTCTAATATGATAAAAACCTGTGATTAATTCATCATCGCTTCCTATCAACGATGAATTATTTACTATTTGCAGCAACAAACCTGTATATTCTTCGCTTACTTGTAAACATATATTATCCATTCCTGCTTTTCCCTTCATTCATCCTCAGCGTATAAATTGAACTTATCAATCGCACTCCTTCAGATCTTCAGAACTCTCAATACCACACAATGAATGAGGAAGAGAAACATGCCGTTGACTCTTTAAGAAATGAGGTAGAACTACTTATATATTTTGATTACATTTATTTCTTCAGTGTAAAGAGTTACTCTCCACACAATTTGGGACTGAATTCAACCTTCTTCGTTGGGCACAGGTAAGACTATAACTATATAAGCATTAAGACAAGAAATATTTTAAGGGTTACGGTTTTGATATTGATGAAGCATCGGAAGAACTAACACGCCATCTTAAATTCCGACGCTTTTACGACCTGGACAATGCTGAGAAAATTAAAGAACACGAAATTTTAAAAAAATATTTCCCAATAGGACTAGTTGGTTGGTTTATTCACATATCTCGAAAAGTCTGAAAAAAAAGTATGAGTGGTTAATGTAGCTTAATATTAGGAAGCAACCGATTTCTGCGCGTTTAAACCGAAAAATGATTGAAAATGGCAAAGTTATAGTTTTACGCGCGCGAATTCAAACATCTTCATTTCAACGCTTATCATTAGCAATAATTGAAGTCAATCTCCAATGAGGATGGGCTTTGATATAATTTCTAAATTTAAGGAGAAACTGGAGTCGACAACAATTTACTCGTTATCGAATGCGCTGGGCGTATTGACCTAATGGGCATTTTAAAGTCAGTGCACTTGTCTGATTTTCTGATCCAAAGGTATTGCATTAATATGATCAAAACGCATGTGAATAGTGATCCATGAAATAATAGATATCGGTTCCAAGAAAAGATGCTGATGGCGATGAATGAACTTGAGAAAAGAAGTGGAAAACAAGTATGTTTTTCTTTTCTTCCTAAAGTTTTATTATTCTGGTAAAATTGCTTTAGGCAGCTGTAATATATATACTAGATTTGGAAGGCTTGAAGTTTGATCCCTGCTTACTAAGCATTGTCACAGGTTCGTAACTTCAACAGAATTGATTGTGTGATATGGCAATTTCCAGGACCATATCGCATTTTGTGGGCTTCCGTATACACTAATTACCCAGAATGGATTGACAAAATGTTTGTAATTAATGCTCCTTCGTTCATGACCATTCTTTGGAAAGTAGGTGTCACTAGATCTTATGAAATGATGTTTCGTTCTCACATTAGGCTATTGGTCCCTTGTTACCAGAACGTACGAGAAATAAAGTTCGTATATTTGGCACGCACGATTGGCAATCAGTTATTCAAAAGGTGAGCACAGCAACGTTCGGGTTACATTGATATTCTGTTAATTTAGCACGCATTGCCAAAAAACATTCCCAAACATTGGGGAGGAACTTTAGTAGATGCAAATGGTGATGCTATGTGCCGGTACGTTCCTGCTTGTCATTTTTAATAAAAAGGCATATCTATATTCAGCGATCGTTTGAATATTCCTTTCGATCCCATTCCTCAAAGCTTATATTGGAATCCTTCCAAGGAAACACCTGCAGCTGATGATATGACGACTACCGTTGTACCTGCTGGTAAAGCCAAAATTATTACTTATGTTGTTCCTCACCAAGACCAGGATATTTTCTTAGTTGTAAACAGGTACCATTATTAACCATTTTACGGGCTATTTCTTGTTTTAAAGATTCTGCGATCGAACATTCGGAATGGGAATTTGGTATCATGAAAACGAAGCTGCTGTTGATTTCGACCTGAGTGAGATGATGGAATGGTATCCTGACTTTGACTACCCTGGAATGCCAACTACCGATTATATGCGAATTAAAGCTCCTGGACCTGGAGTTTACAAAATGAAACTTGGGAACGAATCCGTAAGTTGCAATAATCCGTTCTTATCTAATCTCTCATCACTTCAGGCTTGGATTCGATCCTTGACCGTATCTCATAGAATACGTTTCCAATCCGAAGACAAGATGGACTTCTCTATCTCGACCCTTTATAATTAGAAAAAAAGCCGTTTTCCAGCACCCTACTTCTGGTCCCATCATTCTCCTCAGTCATTCCTTATTCAAAAATGTATACTAAAATCTATATGAACTTTAATAAAATTTATTCCTCACTTTGTTCAAATCGATATTCTGAATCGAGAAAGATGAAACATATTTTGATGAAAAAGAAACTGCTCAAAAGTAATACGCGATGTGCTGAAGATTCCCGAAGTTTTGAAAGTCATAACTTCAGCGGAAATGAAGGCAACAAAGTTATGAAGCGGTTCTTTTGAAAACAACTTCATCTACAATCTTTCTTTGTTTATCAGCTTCTCTTCTTCTCTGCTTCTCTCCGTCTCTCAAAGTTAAACCATCTGTATGACATACAGCCAGACATCTCTTTTCAACCGTTGAGATTCGTTGTGAAACGCTTTCTGAAGTCAACCAGCTCTGAAATTAACAAAAAATTGCAAAAAGAGAAAAATGTAATTAACTAACTTTGTCTACTTTTGTCTTCATATCCGTAATATCACCCTTCAATGTCTCCATCACATCATAGATATACTGAGATGATCTCTTCGTACTATTTGACGTGTCAATGCTATAGGATTCCCTTAAATTTTTACTATGTTCAAGGGAAAAAACAACTCAATCAATGAGTAATATTCGCATTTTCTGCTCTGATATGTAAGAAGAAAGTACAGACGAACCTCATTAAGTCAAATTCCATTTGCAAACGCTGTATGTCTTTCTCGATTACGGATATTTTGGCTGGCAGAACAATCAATTCTACAATCATCTGTTCGTTATTTTCGTCCATCAAACTCGTGCGAGCGGAATAATGAATACAACAAACCCGATAAGTTTTCATTAAGCTGATTAAACTTCTTCGTTAATTTGTATGATGTGATTGCCAATACGAGTACCGAAAGCACTAAGCTGCTGAGAAACAGACAGTTGCTCCAAGAAATATTCACGCATAGTGGGCTCGAAGTTTTTGATCTGTAAAATTAAAAAATCTCAAATCTTTCGATCAACTTTAGATATCTGCTCGGAGATATTTTCATAAATAACAATGTCGCATCCCTCTCTTACTCAAAAGAAAATTCAATATTGCAAGGTTCAGTTGAAGAGCTTCTCCAACATGGTTTACATAATGAAGACTTCAATTTTTCCAAATTTAGTCAGAGCATAGTTTAAAAAACGGAACTCGTTATGATTTGATTTCGTTTGTCTTCTGTCGTCAGGAAATCCAATCAGAAGCTGGACGATAACAAAGCCGTTAAAAGACAGCGATTGCTGTATAAAATTAGAGAGTTTGAAGACAAACAGAGAAATGTTTCATCGAAGTACATCTAAGTGATGTTTCTACACAACTACTAAAAATATGTGTATTTGCATATATATTATCTATACATAGGCATATTAGAAATTCTTTTTTTCGGAATCGTTAGTATATCGATGGATGAATGATTAAGAAAAGCGAAAACATACTTATTGTTGAAAAAACGACGTCTACGTACTGGCGGTAAGTCAAGGTCCGGGACGTCGGAGTCGTCTGATGCTACGAGCAGACTCGACATTTCTCACTCCATCTGTAACGAAACTAATATTAAATCGCGAGAGAAACAAGGGAATACGAACAAGACAACTCTGATGAGCGTTGGATTCCAGTAAAAATAAAAAGGAACGGAATAGAGGCAGAGTTGAGTATAACACGGGAATATTAAACAAACAAAAACTGGAGCTAAGAAGGAAAGAAATATATTTGAAGGAATCAGAAAGAGTAATTATTTTTGCATCTTTCTGACATCCCAGACTGGAAAAGGGTCAAAAAAAAGTTAACGTGTCTCCAGTTGGGTAGAAAAATGGGATCTATTCACTCAACTAAGCAAAACATATTCATCAAATGGTCAGACGTGAAGGAGTACTTCAACATTTTTTACCCAACTCCAAACAATATATGCTTTTCAGAACAGCGTACGTTTACAAAGAAAAAAAACGAAACACAATGATTCATAATGTGCTAAGCAAGTTAGCTTGATAGTTTTGAAGAATAGATTGTGCCTCAGTGACGACGTTTTGCATTATGTCTTGTTCGGAAGTAATCAAGTTAAAAAGAATGTTAAAGAATAAAGATAGAATGAACGAAAGAGAATAGCTTCAAGTTGGTGATTTTTGAGCTGGAGAGGGGAGGGCGCCAAAGCGAAGAGACATGTTCAATCTCATTAAAATAAGCATACGACATCAAATTAGAGACATTAGTCAGCTCAAGTTTTTTGTTCAAAATACACTTCTCAAAACGGAAGAGTCTAAGATTTATGAAAAATTTTGTTATTCAGCATGAGAAAACTCATAATAAGCAACAAGAAAAGCGACATAGCATGGAGTGAATAGAAAAGTTTTAGAAAAAATGTAATCGTATGGATCGAATCATTGAAAAGGCAGACATAAAAGGTAATGAAAGGAAATACAATGAAAGCTGGATAGTTACTTGTTTTGCATTTGAATGATTAGGTTTTGTTGCCAAGGTCCCCAATGGCATTTTGGTGAAATAAAAAAGCGTCTGTTAATCAAACTGCACAAAACAGCAGTTATTTAGCCGGCCGTCCATAGTATAAAGAAGAGAAACAAACGAAATTACAGCTTATGGCTGGACAATTGCTTCTGCGAAAGTATATTTGATAACCATATTCCATAAGCTGCTGATAGTTTCTAGGGCTTACATAATAAGTAAAAAATCTGGAGAGCTCTGAGAGCATCCTTTTAGTAACCTTTTACAATGGAACGCAGTGCAATCCTTCTCAGTTGAGTTTCAAACTTTTCTTTAGTTGAATATTGAAAAGAAGCTGCATAATCAAGAGGTGATATTTATGAAAAAGTGAAAAAGCGCGAACATTTAGAAGCGAAGACAAAAGGAATCCCGCACAACGAAGAAAATCGCGAATACAAGTCCGAGAAATACTAGGGGCCCACAAGAAAAATTTTGATGGATAGCAGAGAGCATAATGGGCTGACCCTGGGGGCTCATACCCTCTCCTTTATAAGAAATAACACTCTTATTTTCGAACGCTATTTCTATCTTTCCGATCAACAGGCATTCCCTGATGAACTCAAAAGTTGCCAAAAAAAATTATAACATAATCGACTGTCTGGAACAATCAAAAGAGAAATATAACTGACTTACGCAGAAACGAGTGGAAAGACTTGATTTAGTAAAAAGAGATTGCACAACCGGGCTGGCGCTACTGCATTCAAAAAATGACTTGAGAACACCATGAAAGTCACGTGGGTTTTCATTTGAATATCATACACGTGATATAATTGGAGAAACCTGTCAAAACCCGACTTTGTAATAATCAAAAATATAGAGTTTAACCTCATGGATAATGAAAGCACAATAAATTTTTGGCGAGGTGTCTCAAAAAAGGCGGAGCATGAAACAATTTGTCTGAAATTGTCATTTACTTCAGTAGTTCGCGAATACAAAGCAGCAAGCCTAAAAAAGAATTAAAAACACCATGTTCTGCTTATTAAAAAGAGAAAAAAAACAATTATTGAATCAAAAAGCATAATTTTGATAAAGATCAAGTGAAATATTCATTTAATATCAAACAACAATGTTTACGTCATGCTTAAAACTTATAAAAAATGATATGCTTTTATGGATATGTTGTCATGAAGAGGACCAGGTTTATATTGACCGAAAATCAACCAAATCATTGGACCCTCCAAGTATGGACATGCTTTTACGAGTGTTGTTGAACTTTCCTTGACTAGCCTGGAAAGGAACGACTCTGAGCATGAACACAGAGTAGAACTACCTTTTTGAATTTCTTGAAATTAACATGATTAGAGCAGGATGAATACGATGGGAAGCCAGAAACATTGTTCAATTTAGATTCCGAAGCTGACGTTTCTGATCTCTCCATGTCAACGAACAATATAAGCTTATCCTGCAAGGACCTAAGCTTCAAACTTTCGAGTGTCAACTTTTACCATTTTATTTACGACAGATTGAACTTCTATTTTTTTGAATTTAGGCTTCAACTCATGTTTTGGATCTTCTTTTTCTTCTTCTTCCTCTTCCTCTTCATACTTTTGGCCACTGTATATGCAACGCAATAACTCCTTTTAAAAATAGAATGTGTTCGAAATTTCTCTTTTTTTTACCCTGTTGGGAGTAACGCTTGCATGGCTGTATTTCTCTTCTTCTTTGAGTTCTACAACAGGCTTCCTTCCTCTCTAAAAACAGAAAAGCTTAAGTGTCGTCACAATATAAATAGAAACCTTTGATTTTTGACTACTAGGTTTCTCCCTAGTATCGAAAATTGAAATATTCGAGTCTGTTAATATCTTTGTTTCCTCATAAACTGCGTCATCGACCATAGTAGGCATTGTAAGAAAGGACTTCCGTTTAGGTGGTGGCTCAGAGGGAGCCAAAGCAAGAGATGAAATATTACTCACAGCCGCATTTCTCATCTATAATATAACATTACTTCCTCAGCTCAAACAGGCTTACTGGATAGAGTACTGAACGTTTTACACCTTTACGAACTTCTGGTCTTTAAAGAAATGTTTATAGACAAGTTGTCCAAACAAACTGACTGTGCAAAACTTGGAGGAAATCCCGGATACAACAGTGAATTTGTTGAATTTTTCCTTGTCTCATTTGGAGAGAAACATGTATCCCTGGCAAGAGTCTCACTGAAAAAAATGAATATTTATCAGCGTTATATCGTCCTCCAACTTCTTCGTTTCGCCCCAATGCATCATAGTATCAACAACAATATCAGTTTTCTGAGCCGAATTGTTTTCTTTGGGATATGAATCTTTAAAGTCCACTGTATCAGCGGCTAATACTTCAACATCATTAAACAAGAAGTTTTTCTGAGTAGGTTGTTTTGAGAACAGAGAAGATTTGGCCTTCGGTTGAACATGGATTGTTTTTAGAGGAATGACGTTTTTTACCTACAAAAAATGGATTTCAAAAAGTGAAAGTTAAGGTACTACTTGTGTTGTTTTCATTGAAGACAAGGTTAGGCAAAAGTCATCATCATCGTCTAAATTCTACAGAGTAAGTACTTCTACTACGACAAATACCATCATCAATCACAATTTCGAGATTCTGATCGGATGCCTTGGCAGTATCTTTGACAAAGGAGCGGGAATTCGAGGGGGACGTTTTGACGATTTGACTAAAAACAACAGAACTCCGTCAATATTTCAAGCCACTACCTATAAGGAGTGTCCTCAGCTAAAACAAGAGTACTTTTCACAGACTGAGAGGGGCGAAAAAACTCCGACATCTAAAGATTATGAACTGTTCCCATAATATCTCAATTCCCCCCACCTTTCTTTGACTTTCCGTTATAACAGGTGTTTTCTTTGATTTTGGAGTTGCATTTTTCCTAAAAGACTGTTTGAAATCCACCGGCTTCAACATAAGCCCCGGAGAAGTAGGCTGAAAAATGAAATATACTTCCGAGCATCACTTCAGTTCCAACTTGTTTCTTAATAACGGTGAAACTCGCTTCTCCCACCAGTATTCGGTCACCATTTTCTAAAACCTTTTTAGTTTTGTTCACTTTGGATCCGTTAATATATGTTCCAAACGAGCTGGAGTCCGTTAGTGTTAGAACACCCTTGAAAGCCGATTGTTAAAAAGCCTTTTTAATACAGTACCTCTGCCGAGAGTAGAAGACTAGCATGTCGTCTTGAAACACCCTCTGCCGTTACAGGTAAGCATATTTTGCATATTTTTTTGTCTCTGCCTATGGAGATCTCAACTCCAACATTTAATTGTGTTTCCTCTGTAAACTTCATATGTTGAATAGCCTAACAAAAACACAAACCGCCCGTTGCAGAAACTAACTTAACTACCATTTATTTATATACACAACTAAAATAAAACTCTTTGGGGTTTTTGCTTCACTTCTTCGAAATAATTTACCGCTCAAACGAATCAAATACCCAAAGATTATTATGTAAAACAATTTATTGGCAGAGACCCATAACAAAAACAATTAGGGGTTGAAACTGCTTAGAATTGGATAACTTGACCGCGAGCCTTCTTCTGTCCTCCAAGTTCGAAGTGCTTGCATCTGTAAGAGAAAAGTTTTAATTACTCTTTTCAATTTTTTTTCTTTTTTTTGAGTTAAATGTTGGAAAGTCATGAAACTGGAACGAAATATTCTTCGCGACAGGGATTATCTCTCCTTTTAATTTCGCCATACGCGATTAGACTAGTAACACAACATTGTGTTCTGTCTTGCCCAAAACGAATGGCAACTTCAACAACAATTCAAATGCTATGAAGTACAAACCTCTTGATTGGAAGTTGCTTCTTGTGCTTGCACTCGGTGCATTCCATACGCAATACAATCTTCTTGGTAGTCTTAGCCTTCTTTCTGAAGATAGGCTTAGATTGACCTCCGAAACCAGACTGTTTTCGGTCGTAACGTCTACGTCCTGAAATGAGAGGATGACAAAATGCGTAACATCTCTTCCCGAAAGAAAACCTTATACTGATTCAACAAAAGACTGGGGCCACTAAACGTCCAAGCTTAGTTAATCAGGTTGGGGAATAAAAATATAAACGAACCCTGGGCGAAGTTGGACTCCTTTCCCTTCTTGTATTGGGTTACCTTGTGATTGGTGTGTTTACGGCATTTGCCATCGCAGAAAGTTCTACGGGCCTTAGGTACGTTGACCATATTACCTGGAAAAATAATATTAAACTCTAAGAGAAACTGTAATAATACAATTATTAAAAAGAAAACATTAAGTGAAATGTTAATAACAAATCAAATACTCACATATTTGACTCGTTGGAACATTGCAGGATCTCACTTTTTACAAGACTAATGAACTTAATATGAATACTAATACGAGAGTACGAAAACAACATTCCAAAATTTAGGACCAAATTGTCGAAGATATAGAAATGTATACAGCATTACGATAGGCCGCATGTCAATCTTTTGAATCGTGGTGGGACCATTTTTTCATGCGTGCGTACTTATCGCAATTGGAGCACACTGTGAATTAAACTACACTTTATAACACAACTGATTTGAACTATTGTTACTACAAGAGTTTCGAGATAGTAAGAATTCCATGATAATCTTGATAATTTTCATGTTCATTTCGTAGCAGGAAAAATTGTGTTAACTTGTAAAAAAACGTTTTGTTTTTATGCGATCCATTGTCTGCGAACACTCTTCCAGTTTTCTTATTGGGTATTGGATTGATTAGGTCAGGATTCTCTTCAATCTACATTCATAAAAAGAAAAAGGGGATGAATACATATGTACAAAAAAAGGCATAATTAGGATATATAAAGGGGAAGATTAGTGTAAACCAACTAGCACCTATCGCAAGGATGTCGTCCTACGGAGTGGCTATTGGCTCAACCGTAGCTTTAGTAGCAGTTTTTGGATGTCTGTTAGGGATCTACTCGATTGTCGATGACATTGATACCCTCAGAACAGAAATCTACAGCGGAGTCCAAGATATGAAGGTGCATTCAGTTTTGAATTTTGCGTTATGTATCAAATTGTCAGACCATCAGTGATGATGCTTGGACTAGGATTCTCGTATTACACACTAATCCATCCATGAAAAGTGATGCTCCTCCTAGCTTTGCTTCTTTATTCACACGCCAAAAAAGATCTTCCGGAGGATACTGTAATTGTGCATCTAATTCGGAAGGATGTCCACCAGGACCACCGGGACCTCCAGGACAACCAGGACCTCGCGGAGATCAAGGTTTGGCCGGTTCTCCAGGAAAGCGAGGAGCTTCAGGAATTTCCCTTGCGTAAGACAGTTTTTCTGAATGTTCCCATTAAAAGAATCATTTGTTTAGTGTCACTCATGATATCCCAGGAGGTTGTATTCAATGCCCAGCTGGAGCTCCAGGACTTCCAGGACCAGCCGGACCAGCTGGACCAAAAGGTTTTGATGGTGCTCGTGGAAAATGTGGAGAAGCCGGTGATGATGGCGAAGCAGGAGCTGTTGGTGTTCCAGGAGAAGAGGGCCATAAGGGATTACCAGGAAATGATGGAGCTCCAGGACAACAAGGTCATGATGGCCTCGTTGGATCACCAGGATCTCCAGGACCTCAAGGAGCACCAGGATGGCCAGGAGCCCAAGGAGAGCCAGGAAAGAATGGTGATGCTGGACTTGATGGCGAAGACGGTCCAGTTGGTCCAGCCGGAGCTCCAGGATTCCCAGGAAAGAGCGGAGAAGATGGACAGCCAGGAGTTCCCGGAAACGATGGAGCCCAAGGAGATGATGCCAACTATTGTCCTTGCCCAAACAGATCCGACAAGGGAAATAGAAAATTGTAACATGATCGAAAATAAATTATTATCATTATTTCCTTCTTAATGTAGGCAGATAAAAAACAAAAAAAACTGTTCGGATGATTGCGAACGCAGGCGAGCAAAAAAGATGCATACTAATTTCAAAAAATTTATTGTCTGAACTATTTGATAGGAACTTAGAATAAGGATAACCTGTATCAAAAAGCTTTGTCCAGGAAAGTTAGAAGAACACAAGCCTGAATGCTGTAGCTATAGATAAACAATTTCAAATTATACAGATAAAAGTCTTGGAAGAGAAAACATTGTTCACTAAACAACATCTACGATTTGCAATATTACGATTCATCTGTTTCAGACGTTTGAAGACAAGAAATGACTAGATTAAGAAAGTGAAGCACTTTTAAGCTTCTTTGGACTGATGATGAGACTTGGCGAAAACAATAATGAAGTGAAAATAGAGTACAACAGATCTATTAAGAGTGTCTACACCGAATTATTAATACGTTGAGCTTTTTCTTTGAACTTTAGAAAATTAAACAACTAATTCCTCTTTCCATTCATTGTAGTCTATGTCTTGAATTTCGTCACATCTGAAACAATACTTCATTGAAGCGCAAACGACACACCCAAACCTCATGAGCTCATCCTTCTTAGGATTGAATACATTGAATGCAGTCTTTGGAACAAATGAGAAATGCTCTCCAGCATCACATAATACTCGAGCTATGGTCATTTTCTTGATTTGCCGAAGCTGACCAGGTGTGAAGATCTTGTCGTTTTCGAAATAGAATCTATAGAGGAATTAGAAATAAATTTTCTAAATAAGCTTCTTTACCTGTCTCCATCTCTGGTTCTACGGAACTGCTCACCAATAATGCAGGCAATAGTTGGACCCACCAAGGAATCTTCTACAGGATCTTCCAATAAAGAACCAACGTACATATCAATAGCATCTAATCATTAAGATATTTTGAAATTAGAGGGCTGTGTAACATACCGACATGTTTATATATAACTTTAAGGTTGTCAATAACAACAGGGTTAGAAATGGTAGCGTTAAGGTCAGAAAAGTCCTTAATTTCTGATAGACCACAGAACTTACGCCAAGCGGTAAAGCCGGGAACACCGTGATCCCTGGAAAATAGGTTCGATGAATCAATGCAACTTTTGAAGAAACACATACCTTCCTCTTTGAATATTAATGGATCCTAAGTCAGAATTTCCAAAAATTCGTTCAGTTACAGCAGGGGTCAACCTGTATATAATTAAGGATAAATGAAATTTGTGAAAATTCTAACCTCTGCGGCATTTTTGCGGGTAAGGTTAAGAGACCTCGAAGAAGGGGATCAATGCCATTATTGATTATATGTAAACTTTTGAACATTCCATCATTAAATGGTATACCTCCAATATGTTGGAAATTTTCGTTTAAGAATGGGTAGAACTCCTAGAAGAAATTATTTGTATAGAACAACTCATTATAGTTTACTTGAATCATTCCGTGTCCGAATCGGAAAGCACATGAGGTGAACTCGTTCGCAACAGATGGGTCAGTTTCGGCATCATAACCTTTATACTTGCCAATACGTCTTTCGAAATCTTCTCCAAGTACTCGTGGGAGATATTCCTAAAGAAAAGTGTCAGGAGTGCTGAAAGAAATTGAAGTTACATGATAAGTGATTCGTTGAATAACAGCTCCTAATAACTTTCTAGTCTCATGGAAAATACGCTCTTGATCCCAATGTGGGTTGACACGTTGCAGAGTAGCAGCCATTCTTTAAAACAAGATTATCATAAGTTTGATTTGAAACTTTATACCTATTGTGCTCTCTCAAGAACAAAGTATGTAATGCAGCCAGACCTACAAAAATATTGGCTCTGTCATCGCCCGCCACAACATTCATATTAGTGTCTAGAGGGAACAATTCGAAATTTCATGAAAATAATAGTGCACTACCAATGGGTGGGAAGACACGGGTTTTGACCATTTTAGTCTTCAAGAAGGCTCCTTGACGGAAGAGAAATTGGTCCCGATCACTGGACCCATAAATCTGAACAAGAAATGTTCACCCATATAACGCCATATCTTCAGAAAAACCATTGATCCATCGATGAATGCAGTATTTTCATTGAACTGTTCACGTGGAGATGTAGTACCAGTACCACACACAGGAGTAGAACGTGCAACAGGAAGGCACATAAACCGTCCGAAACTAAAAAGAGCTATAACGTGTCATTTGAAATTGAGAATATTCACGTTGGGTCAGCACGAGATAAGAAAACGGAGAAACATTTTCCTCCATTAGAAGTGCATGCAGCACACTCTTGGTTATTGAGCATAGTGGTTTTAGAGAGATCGTGAGCAATAAACTGTCCCCATTGCATGAGAAGGGCATTGGAATGATGAGGAATCTGAATGCATAATCTATATAAATGGAGGTGGGTGCTTATTTACCTGTGAAGATGAAGCTAGGAGAAGACGTGAGGCATCACGAGCTGATGGCCTTGTTCTCGTGAAGGAAGCTTAAACAAAAAAAACAATCAGAAAAAAAAAGATTTCATCTTACATGTTGGAGCATTGAGCCCGTTATCATATAAAGGCTGCTTCAAACGCATCAGTGAACTGAAAGCAGATCCCCGGAGAGGGCTGTCAAAATTGTTACAGCTACCATCGAACGTACGGAATCTAAAGCAGATATAGCCTAATTTGGTGGGTAGCAAATACCTTAAGTGATAGCAAAGATTGCGATTGCAGTTGGGAGCTTGCTGAGTTGGAGCACAATGGAAGTTGGCGTTACTGTTCCGAACGTCATTTATTGAAAGAGTTTTCCTTATAGACGTATCTGTATGCAAGAAGCATAATTAAACGCTTCACTCATTGAAATACCTTCATGAGTTGTGACAAAGGTACAATCTTCTTCCCTGAAACCACCATCACTACGTGAACCACTGACTCCACTGATAGTACGTCCTGGAACCAGTCAATTTTAGAATTTTTAATATGAAGTATGATTAATATTAATATTTCTGTCATTATAATTTTCTTGTGGTTGGAAACCTGGTTCGCCAGCTAATCATCACATTATTCTAGACTTGATTGTTATAAATGGAAATTGAACGAAATCGCTATCCCATTCTAACCTCACTTTAATCGAGAAATCTTTGAGAGAGTTGAGAGATCATTAGATCAACACTACTCTTCAAGGTTAGTTTTTTCGATAAAGTGGGTGAAAAAACAACTTAGAATAGTTACTTCTCGTACAGCTGATGTTATGATTATGATAGCAATATGGGGTAGTAACATAATGCATGCGATTACTAGGGAATTGAACCCGTTTTTTCACAGCTTGCCTAAGTATACTGGCTAATTAGGGTACGCTCAAACTGAACTTTTAAAGCTGTTTCAATTTAAGTCTTAGGTGAATGTTGTAGATTCAATCCAGTTTCTCAACTAGAAATATTCGTTTCACTGTTAATCAAAAAAGTGAATTGATGGAAAACTATTTTCTAACCTAATTTTAGAAAAGTATACGCTATTAGAGAAACTATCTAGAAATTGCGTACCTCTACATGCTTTACAAGACTTGGCGCAATTCGAGAACATCCATACTGCATTTGTTTCACATTCTTTTATGGCAGACCAGAAGTTGCATAATCTATGACGATCGATACATGTCATCGTACCTAAAAAACAACTTTACTTTTGAGAGAAAAAACAATTTACAAACCATTGCATTTATCACATGAAACAGGACAGTTGTCTTCCATCCATTCTTTATTCGAATCGCATTCTCCAATCGAAGACCAAAATTTGCACAAATCATGTGAGTCTGCACAACTAAAACGACTTTTTCAGAAAAGTTAATCGTGAAGACATAATTTGAAGAAAGCGCACAACCGACTCTTCTCGAAAATAATGTATAAATGACACCCTGTTCAATATTTTGCGAACTGAGACGATGGAAGAAAAATGAACCTTACCTTTCGCTTCCTTCCTCATCTTTTTCTCGTGATTTTTCTTCTTTTTCCTAGAACAGATAAGGTACATCTCAATTTCAAACAAATTTCAATATACCTTCTCCTCTTGTTCACGCTCTTCTGTGCTGGTTTGTCGGGCAGCTGGGGAACCGTTGTCTGTTACATTTTTTTGTTCTGAAATGAAGAAGTTGTCGACGAAACAGTAACTGTCACATACCAGATTCAGTGCTGACATCATTCTCTTCCTCCTGAGCTAGAGTAACTGCTATTCCTAGAAAAACAAGAATAGAAAAGCGGATTCCATAATTCAGGTTACAACAAGGTTAATCTTTTTCTAACATTGAAACATTTCGTAACATTCTTATTTCCCCTAACATAAAAAGCTAGTAAGTGACCCAAGACCAGGGATATAAATTCTGATTTCCTCCATCTCATTCTTGATTCGGATACTCGCCGGTATGGATATCGTCATGATGTGTTCTCCGGCGTTAGGGTTGAACCTATACAAACGCGAAAATACCCGTTTTTAGATGTCGACTAAACAACTATTCACAGAAGCCTGAACTGTCCCTAGTTGTCCTATCTTATCATTCGCATGGATAAGCTAATTCTCTTGTATATTTTCGTCCCTATAGTCCCACGATTTCACTAGCTATAGATATCCAGCACAGACACAATCAGCAGGCGTCCTGGCCTCCAGCCCAGCGTTTCTGGCTTAGGTTCAGGAGAAAGACAGGAATTAAAGAGGCGAAAGTTGATGGGACAAAAAGAAGAGACATTAAGAAACATCGAAACTCTCGCTCTATCTTTCTCGATAAGAATTTCTCAAGTGAATCGTGTGATTGCTTTCTTTCACTTTCTTTTAATTATAATCGGCATCGCATGAGAAAGAAATACATAACATAAATGATTAACCGACAATCACCAAAGAAAGGAAAATACAAATGAGTGAAAACAGACCATAGTTGTAATAGAATGAAAAAAAAGGAAGAACCGTTTTGATGACGCAAAGTTTCAGTCATTGTTGTCTTTTTCATTCAAGAATGTGAAGAAAAAAAACTTCTGTTACAGAAGTCTCGAATCAGTATCAGTTCCTAATAACTTAAAAGAACATAGAAAACTAAACTTTGGAGAACTCGTGAAATTGAAGGATTATTCATAAGTAGTTACTATGCAACTCTCTCAACGGATGTAACATAGCTAGCCGTTTCCGTTTTGAACAGCCAATCCAATTTCACCAAAGCCCGTTTTATCAGTCTCAGGATGCTTGACCTTTCAGCTTGATTGAGACAAAAATGACGGGAATCCTATCTGTTTATCATTGGAACGATATGGAAGAAGTATCGAAGTTGAAAAATGATTGCAATGGTACCATTCATCAAGGAAGTATATCACATACAAAGGCTCAGCGCTAAACTAAGCTAGTTGGACTTATACGAATTTGAAAACTTCGAGACAGAAAAGAGAAGACTTTTTTCTAATTCATCACTTATTCCTTTCTCCAACATTTCTTTTCTCATCCATTTTCTTTTTTCGGATAAGTCGCTAATCGTCCTACACCTCGATATCTTCTGCACTAAGTCTTTCAGTCTTCACCTCAATTTTCAATTTCATTAAAACAGAAGCAAGAAAGGAATAAATACTGTCCAAGTTATACGGAGAATACAATTTCCGCTAGCGTTCGTTGTGTTACATACGAAACTTCCTAATAAAAAAGAGCTGTGATTAAATTGAATTTAAAAAAGGTCGAGAAGTGTCTATAGTTCATTCCCTCTAGGTCAAACGGGATTAAGAATAACCAAGTAATCGGAACGAAATGCCGGCAAAAAGCTACAGGCAATCGAATGTCTCAATATATCATCGCATGGTATGAAGATGATTAAATGCCTGGTAAGGAGAGACTGTCGTCTACTGGATCACCCATTGTTATTATATATTTATATTTCTTTATTATTAGTCTGTTTATTCATTACGAATAAGCAGATTTGTACTAGTTATATAATAAGAAAGAAGAAATATTAGGACATAACAATGGTAGGCAAGAAAATGATGACTGGCTGGAGTGCATAGCTTCAAGCAAGACACAAGTTTCGTTTGAAATCTCAACGAAACCCAGATCACCATCATAATTTCAACTTCAAAATAGCATAACTGTTCTAATTGCTTTTTAATCAAATAGGACAGCAGATGCAAACCTCAAGAATTTTCAGAGCGGAACGATTAAATAGCTTTCATACAGATTTACTAGACAGTTGAGATGGTTTGATTAGAATTTTTCCGGTATTCAAACGATCCGAATTCGGTAAGATATGAGAATGACGTTTGGATATACAAAACGAAAGGATGGGAAGTTGTTTAAAGTACAGATAACTGTTTAGTTTGTGTGAAAAGATCAACAACATCCGAAGAAACCGAAACAAGTTAATAGAAGTTCAATGAATTACCTGCAGAGAGGAAAAGAAATAAAAGGAATAGATTCCTCATCGAAGTATTGGCTTAATGTGAAGTAGTCTGCCTTTGCAAGCCTTTAAATGCCAAAAGAAGCAAGAGAAGGTAGGAGGGGCTAAAAGCAGAAGGTAAATAGAATACAAATTCAACACGTAACGGTAGTCTTGTCACAACCACAACGTTATAGCTGAATCTCGGTCTGCTCTTGTACGGGTTGATGCTGCTGATTCGAAGCCACCATACAGTCCTGAAGCGCCGCCCCCAGGCATTGATCAGCGGGAAGACATATGATTAGGAGAGACTAGACATTGACAGAAATAATGTTTTAAGAGAGTGTGAAGCAGACTGGGAGGGCTATATGGTGGCACGAGAGCAGAACAAGTCTCTTCACTCTCTTTCTTCCTGTCTCTAATTATCTTTCCTATTGGTTTCATACAAAGAAGATGATCAAGCTTGTTGTTCTTGCGTAATAGGGGAAGACCGATTCACTGTTAATACTGCTCGTCGTTGCCCTCGTTATACTATATATCATATCATACGTTGTCGTTACAAAGATACTTGATACAAGATTATCAAAAAACATTGAATCATATCAATATCGAAAGAACAACAGAATCCGACTATATACAGAATACAAGAGGATTCTCAATAACAAACAGTTTTATATGAAGAACATGCTTGCTTCCATAATTCATTTGCAAATAATCGCATTGGAATTCTGCGACAATGATCTGTTAGTGACTAGCCACAGTAGAAGAAAACCGATCATCTATTAGGCGATTTCCCCAAGATGAACACGTAGACGCTAATCCTACACCCTGGAAATCTCCTCGAACACTTTGCCATCAAAGTCTCACTTCTCAGCTTGTCTTAATGAACCGATTGCGCAAGAACTTCTAACAACAGGAGAAACAAAACTTCTAAGCATGATCTAACCAGAGAAGGAAATGAGAATCACATTAAGTACTACAAAAGATTTGCAAATATTGAACAAAACTGTAAACTGAAATGTCGGAAGAAAATATATTAAAACTAGTCGGAAGCGCATATTTTCAAACAAACAATTGCTGAATTGGGGACAAGTATTTACCATGGGATAGTTTCATACAGGGTTTCAAATAGTGGATTTGTTATGAAGCCGTCTTCAGGAAAAAGTAAACTTTCAGATTGCTGCTAACGGATTTCTCAAATCATTGCAACAATTTAATACCCACTCCGACAGTTGAAACTCATCTTCAAGTAATGAAACTGCAACCTGTTCCAGTGTTTTTGCTGCCGTTTTACCCCCGAAACATCACGAAGCAGTCACTTCTTTCAACAATGACATTGGAACGTTTGTGGCCTTAGCATAGATCCTACTTGATAATGGTCAGAGATGAACATCAAAAGCTTCTTCTTGTTTCTATATCTCCACACCTTGGTTCATCTCTATTTTTCTTATCACCTCTGATATTCAAAAAACTTGAAAGCTTAGACAAGGCAACTACTTGATGAAATCTTACGCAAATCTATCATGAAAACGAAGTAGAAAAGAAACAAAATGAAACACTTCAAGAAATGCATAGGGCCTCCAGTGCTATTAGTAAAATCAATCGATAATTGACCCTCTTTTGATTCATATAATTTGCCGCGGGACTTCATTTCAAATCTTCAGTAGAGCAAAACGGTTGATCATGGCATGTCCTCTTAGAAGAACTTGGTGCTGCGTCCAACAGACAAGTATAGAATTGGAATCAGTATTTTCCAATAGAGAAATTGCTGAATTTTTTTTTCAAAAAAAATTTATTGAAAATGCACCTATATATCAGCTGATACGCAAATTGAAAAACAATCATTAACCAGTTCACTTCTGTTACCATAACCGCCATGATTATATACATCCATATTCTTTTGTTTTATGCCAATTTCTTTCTAAAACAGCGAATAAAATAAAGGAATGTGTGACGAGAACGAGAGTTTATTTCACTTGTCCATTTTTGTCGTCTCTTCCTATCATCTCAATTTTCATAGAAATGTAACATTTAAGCAACTATGTGTCATCTTTGAATCTGTTTTATCTCGGTCACTTTGAAAAAATTCTTTCAATCTTCCACATGAAAATTTGGTTTAAGATGTGCACCCAACGCCTCGACACTTCTTATTTGATGAACGCATTGTCCCAAGAAATTTTTGTTCGTTCATTGTGAAGTCAACAGTTGCTTGAAGAACTTATTTTGAACTGACCTTCTGTTGACATAAGATTTCTCAGTTTATTCGTAATTATTGAACTTGAGCTCATGGAGCTAGATAGATATAAAGCAAGTTTCGTTTTACTTATTCCCTCTGCTCCCTTCTGGCTTATGGAAGCAAAGCCATTCTTTTTAGGCCCGCTATCAAGACGAAAGAAAGAAAAGAAAAGGATGAGGCTCCGAAATATTATTGTTTTTGAGGAGGGGATGAGGCACAATGAAATAGACGGAAAGACAGAGATCTCTTAGCCTTAATGTGTGTGCCAACTCTGGCTTAGCAACACAGCATGAGCATGGGTAAGAAGTATTTGGCAGATGGCTAATTTTCTAAAAGGAAGTGAGCAGGTGTCATTGACAAATCACTTATGCTCTCACATCTTATGTTTCTTGAATGAAGTGAGTAAAAAGAAGAGTCTGCTAGTCGAAAGACTCATAGCAGCAAGAGAGACAGAGAGAAAACAATGCTTGTTATGTGAAGCTGAAAGAGCAAAATCTGGAGTTTGAAAGACGTTCTTGCTTCATATTGATTAAAGGCTATCAAACGAAATCGTAGATAACTCTTGATGTCATAATCACTTTGAAAATTGTCAAAACATGATTCAGAATGTCTAGTCCTCCAGTCTTGACACCTAGACCCGTCTCTGAACCTTCAGGAACAGAGAGATAGACAGTAAGAGAATTAGGAGGAGTCACCTTCATTCTCTGAATTTCTCTGTTAATTCTTCATGCACATATAGTTTGTGAAAGACTTGACCTTGGGAATGTCAATTAAGCGGCAATATTCAACCTGTGCTTCTAACCAGATGTGATTACGCAACAGTATGAAAAGCTTGATATCGAGAAACAAGCTTTGCCAGATATTCATCATCGTAATCTCTTCTTCCTTCTCTTCGAACACAAACATTTCGCATCACTTCCATATCAGGGACACAATGTTGCTCACTAGTTTTCCATCTGTGTAATCCTAGCTTTGACACCTGGTCAAATCACGACTGTAGACGAGTTTCTTATGCACGTTGTGCACTGTCGGGGTCAATATCAACTAGTTACACGAAGAAATAAATGTACCATTTATTCAAAGAAAATACAAACAGCGTCAGTACATAGTATAGGTGAATAAGAGTAACTTTTAAACAATGTTAAACATAATTTATTGAGGATGCCATCGGCGAATCAGGGAAAATAACAATACACAGTGAAATAACGATGAGAGTCAAACAGGACCAAAAATGGTGCGGGACCACTGAGGTTAGGGAACAGAGATTGTGACAATCTAACTCAGCGTTAGAATAATCTGAGGTCGAATTGCTTAATCGCTTTCTTCTCCAGCTTCACCATCATCTCCCTCATCACCTTCTTCACCATCATCACCGTCATCTCCATCATCATCTCCAGATTCTCCTTCACCTTAAGTCATTGTTGCAAAACCATCTCAAAAACTACTGATGATACCCTCAGATCCTTCTCCTTCGGAAGATTCATCGTTTACATCTTCATCATCAACATCCTCGTCATCTTCATCATCATCATCCTCTTCCTCTTCGGCCTCGGCTTCAGCTTCTGTAAAACATCCGTTTGAGAAGAACATTTCTTGTAAATCCCAGTGTTCTTTTATGTCAATCACTCTTTTTTAATAGCCAGCAGAAGTCTCACAATACTCACTTTCCAATCGATGAGCGATCAATTCTCTGACTAGCAAAGCTGAGGCTGTGAGCGAGCGCTCAATTCTCCTCCCGCCTCCTATTCTCTTTCACCTCCCCCCATCACATCATCTTTAACAAACAAGGCTCTACGTCTATTACCACATGCTTTCTTCTCTGGCTCTCAATCAACTCTGCCCGCTCCCTCAGTCGCATACTCTCTCACGACGCGAGGCGGCTGCCAGCCCCGTCTGTCCGCCCTATCGACCCCAACCGCATAATGCACATAACCACGTAAAGAACCTGGGACCCAAATTCATCACAATCATTTCGAAAAGGTATTGACATCACAATATTCCTTGGCCATTCATTTACCTTTCACGGGCTTCTCCTTGACGATTTCGTCCTGAAAAGAAAAAAAATTTAGTATGCGCAACTCCAAATTTAAACTGTTGACAAGCATTGCCGAGCTACTAGTAATATAAAAAAACATGAGCGAACCTCAGTTTTTCCGTTGTCCAATCTTGGCTCCTTGGTAGCAACCTCATTTTCATCATCTTTGTCGAGATGTCTTTTTTCGGCACTTCTCTCTTCGACAGCGCTCATGATTCTGGAAAACATTCAGATTAGTAAGTCCAATTGAGAGAAAAATATAATTATATGACATTAGAAAACGAGAAGAGAATTCATAAAATGACCATGCACACTATGACCATTCCACTAAGCGCGCGAAGTCCTAAACATTTTCTAAGAAATTGTACGCAAAACACCAGCGCGTCTGGCGGGCGTCCACTTGGCAAGAGGCCAGCAATTTATTTACGCGCGCGAAATTCGAAAAAAAAACAAAAAAATGCATAGCTCATGTTGAAACTTGGTAACCTATTAAAAATAATATAAAAAAAAAAGAAAAAAAATAACTTCACGAATTAATTTAGCTTTGGCCTAAAATTTTTCGTTGGAAACGCCTACCAGGCAGCCCGCGTGCGTGTTTTTCCGGATAAAAAAGTGCGCGCTGTTTGCGGAAGACATTATTAGGGATAAGATAAAGTTATGACTTAAGGATATAGAACATGCTACAAACCATACTATATAGTAAATGAAGCTTATGATGGAGTAAAAGTGGGAGGTCGTCGCTCCCCCATTCGGGGCGCTAGGGAGGCGGAGCCATTTTCGATTACTCTGTATCTCTTCCTCCTACTCTAGCCTCTCTGCTCTCTAGCTCCGCGTCTCCTTAGCAATGAAAAAGGAGAAAAATAACCTTTGAAGAGAAATAGAAGGCTAGATTAAATGTAGAAAGATTCTTATAATCATGAACATTGGCTTGCTGAGCTTTATTTGAAGAAATGGAGGCCTGCAAAATCCCAGACTGGGTCGGAGAGTAATGTTAACATATAGAGTGACCAGTGAAACGAAAAAAGCCAAAGATTCTTCTTTGGAACCGAATTCCCTTTAAAGCTGGAGCAAAACTCTAAAAAGAAATTATCTTTCGCATTGGGCCAAATAAAATCTGCGCATGTGTTTAAAATAATGGCTAAGAGACTTGAAAAAACCTTGAAGATTGTTTCCTTTGATTAAATCCAAAATATGCATGTTGTTTTTTGTTGCAAAACCACGGAAATCTCTTCGAACAAATTTGCATGTTTTTATGGGAAAATTAGTTAATAAAGACTCTCTACATCAGAAGCATGGGATGACAGATTCATTTCGTGTAGAGTCCATAAGAATCAGTGAGATGAATGGACATGGCAGATGCTCCTTTTCATTATGCATCTTGCGGTGAAAGCTTAGGTCATTGTTGTACGCGGTAAAAAGGAATATGCAAATGAAGATCTGTATGCGTGAGGCGCACGTGGGAAGTTATTTACTTAGTGAAATCTTGATAGAGCGGTTGTGAAGTATAAGCGATAAAACAGGTAAGATAACAGAAATGATACACATAACTAAGATACATGGTCTGTGAAAAGTAAAAAGAACACATTTCTTCCTTTTATGAGAGAGAAAGCAGTAGTAGATATTCGGAACAGGCGAACTATCCTCGGGTCATTTCAGTTGTTTTTCTCATAACTTGTTAATAACCTATGAAGATAGGACCAATGTTTGCTATGACCGAACTTTCTTAGGAAAAATACCGCCATACGATTGAGATTCTAACAGATGGATGCCACGAGGCACTGCTGTTACAGTTAGGGTCATATCGTATTCATCTCTGTATTGTAAGAACTGCTCAGGTCACCTGCCAGGAGCAATTACTCATATGTAGGGAACGTAACATTTCTTGAACAGCGTGAATAATCCAGCATTAACCCGATAATTGTAATTTATGGTAACGGATATATCAAGATTTCGATCATTTGCAAAAATGTTGAATTAGTGGATATTCATATCCTTCAAATAAATAAACTGAAGCTTAGAAAAGGAGACAGTGGAATGTTTCTTTAGCCATCGGATACATCCAACGATTGGCATTGGAGAAATAGGAAGAATTTCCATGAGTTACGCGTTTTGTTTTTTACATGATTATCCTGCTTTTCTAAAACCCTGTCTCATCATTTGTTTTTGGTTGTAAATCCTTCTGCTTTTCCATGATGATGAGTTTCGTTCTAAAAATCTTTTTTTTTAAGTTTAACAGCTTATTTAATAATCTGACACTGTTAATAAATTAGCACAGAAAAGTTATTTTACATGAATTACTTATTATTTCGTTAAAAACATATCTATATAAAACTCATTTATAATAGGAAGGCCTCTATCCCATAAGGATGAGACAAAGAGCATCTTCACATTCACCTTATATTATGAGTATTGTGAAAAAAGCCTTAGTGAAAACTCAACAACTCTTATCTCTTCCCACGACAAGCAGAGTAAAGAATGTAGAGCGACTGATTCGCGCTCTATTGAGAATTGCGCTCAACATCGAATACTCAGGCAACAGGCTGTCGAGCAGCGAAATGAGAATTGTTATGTTTCCCTGGTGAATTTCCCTACTTTATTTTGTATAAACCATATATATTTTATCTGTTATTTTGGGATTTTAATATTGAGTTATTTGCTAGTGAAGGTTTATAAATCTCTTAAGGCTCTGCGTTATTATTTATTCATTGTCTTTTGCGTTTTCGCTTATTCTTGTAATATCTTGACAACGTCGGTACTAAGTGTCTATTCATACAGGGTAAAATGGTAATCGTTGCTGGGAAAAAGGTCCGTATTGTGAAGAAGAAAATCACAAAGTTTAAGCGCCATGAGTCCGACAGGTATTTTTATTTTTTTTTTTTTACAACTTTTACTTAATTACTTATCCAGATACCACCGCCTGAAGCCCAACTGGCGTAGACCTAAGGGTATTGATAACCGTGTCCGCAGACGTTTCCGCGGTATGCGCGCTATGCCAAACGTTGGTTACGGATCTGACAAGAGAACTAGATTCGTTCTTCCTTCTGGATTCAAGAAGGTTGTTATCAGAAATGTCAAGGTACAGCTTCTGATGCGATAATTCTTTCTACATTTTCATTTAGGATCTTGATATGCTTTTGATGCAATCCTACAAGTACGCTGGAGAGGTTGCCCATGCCACTTCCGCTAAGACCCGTAAGGCTATTGTCGAGAGAGCCGCTCAGTTAAACATCAAGCTTACAAACGGACACGCTCGTATCCGTACTGAGGAGAACGAGTAAATTGTTGGTTATTCAATGAATTGTTATAAAATCTTTATTTTCTTAATCATGGAATTATACCGGGGCGTTTTCTATTCATAACCTAAAATCGAGAGTTTTTTTTTGCTTTTTGAACTTCTAACATACATCCGATATGGATAGTCTTCGGAATTCTCTGAAGATCTTCCGGCCATGTGGTCCAGTGATAACGTTCACCTTTAACATGATGAGTTTGAATGGATGAAGCTATAGTTACCGAATCGTTTTGCTTGAATGTGTAGTACTCTGCCAGAGCTGGTTGGGGCTTTGGTGTTCCCTGTAAAGTTTTTCAAGATTAGAATAACTATTGGATACTCACATAAGGCACGTTTCGAATTATCATGTTGTTAAACTTATCGTGCCTAATGTCCTCATATTTTGCGCTTAACTCTTTGTAAACGTCCCTGAGATTAGTGGCGTTCACAGCTAAATGAGAAATTGAGTTATGAAAATAAGTTATATCACCTAGAAAGAACAGAAAAATAGCAGTCTTCATAGTTCAAATTAGAGTGAACCAATTCGACTGATAGACCGTTAGCTGAATGACTGTAAAGAGTCGGGGGCGTACGTGATCGTTTGAACTCTTTGTCCGATGTCACTTCTTTTAAAAGTATCAATTATTGATTACCATGTGCAGTCTTCTTTTCTTCCAATAACAGCGTGAATTGTTACAAAAACTTTATTGTGTTTATATGATTAGTTAGCATGAACTTTAACGCGCAAAATTCTTCTGCGTTTGTATGATTGTGGTTCTCCATGTGCTTTCTTCTCATCACTCTCTGGAGCTGGTGCGTCATATCCAGTCTGTTGTACTTCTTGCTCAGTATGTGGCTCAGTTGCGGGGCCTCCGACAGAACCAGATTTGTGAGAACTAAATATGACTATAAAAATTTTGATCTGGGGTATAGATCGAACTCATGTGGTCCCAATCCAAGTTCTGTACGATCGGGGCATGGACAGTAGGCTGCGTCGGCTCCAGGAATTCCAACTTCTCCTGATTGTCCTGGTTGACCTGGTGGTCCGTTCTTTCCTGGTGAGCCTGCCTTTCCAGCTGGCCCTGCGAATCCAGCCTTTCCTTGTTCTCCGTTTTGTCCATCTCTTCCTGGTTTTCCTGCTGGTCCAGCTGGTCCTGGTTTACCTGATGATCCTGGTTTACCCTAACACCATTTGTTAACTAGACAAAAACTGTTTTGGAACTACCTTGCCCTTCTGCCCATCTTTTCCATCTTCTCCACGCTCACCAACAGGTCCAGATTCACCGTCAGTTCCAGCTTCTCCGTCCTCTCCTGGTTTTCCATCTTCACCATTTCTTCCTGGTAGTCCTGGGCTGCCTGGATTTCCTGCTGGTCCAACTGGACCATCAGGACCTTGTTTTCCTGCTGGACCAGGAGATCCAGCCGCGCACTTAACGCAATTTCCTGGGCTTCCAAGATATTTATCAAATCGGACATTTCCATTGGATCCAGGTTCTCCAGGATTTCCTGGCTCTCCATCTTCTCCCTTAGGGCCCGCTGGTCCTGGTGGTCCAGGTGGGCAATTATCGGCTGGCTTCGCACAATTACACTGTTTCGCATCTCTTTTATGTCTCCCGAAGACATCACGAATTCCGGAAGGACCTTCTAATGGTAATGAGTTAACCATAACCGACCAGGAGTCATCATAGTTATTCTGGATCATTCAATTTAAATGAGTTGGTACAAAATGTGGCTTACCTGGAAGCTTTTCATATCTTCTTGAACATTGTTGTGGAACTCAGCGATATCCAGATAAATAGAGCAGGATACAATAAGTGCAACAGCGATTGTTACAGACGATAAAACTGAAGCAGTTTGGAGAATCCAAGACATGACTGTTTTCCTGACTTTGGATGCATTTTGCCATATTTATACCCATTCGACTAATGAACTGCCGTTTAGGAAAACTGTATAAAAACGATCAAAATCAGCTGTTTGGACATAAGCAACTTTTTTCTGAGTTCATATTTAGATGGGCAAGTTGATTTCTCATATTGTCTTATCAAGTTTCTTGCGCGAATTAGAACATCAAACCAGATGGATGATTAAGAAGCTTTTCAGCGACATAAGTGCAAGGTTTATTCGAACAATGATTTTTGAAAAATACGAAATAAGTTAGAACTGATAATTCTTTTTTTTACAGAAAAATGAATGTATCCCTCACAATCTGTTAGTGCTTAGTAACGATATTTTACAACAACTTGAAACATTCGAGACTCTAAATATGAGTAACCGTAACGAGGTTAGAGATTTTCGAGAGATTCATTTTTCACTTCAGCCTCTGAGCTTTTTCAATCGTTCTTCCAGAGAACGCTCTTCTACAGAAAATTCTTGGTCATCTTCGCGTAAGCCGAATCGTCCACTAGGAACTTCTGGCAAACCCAATGGTTCTTCTGCTTTTTTCTCATCGTTCATTAGAGCATCCAACTCTTTTTGAAGATCATCGTCCTGCAATAATAGAACTTTTAGTTTTTTGTTGAAAATATAATAATACCTTATCACTGGTTCGGAAGCCAAATCCTTGGCTCATAGCATCTTCCAATTCCTTGTAATCTTCAAGTGTACTAGAAATATCATCCATTGTCTTGTCGACCTAAACATCGAACCATTATCCAGATTCATTTCAGCTTAACCTGATCAGGCGATAAACCATGTCGAGCAAGATTTGCTTTAAATGCTTGAGATCCAATTTTGTAGGCATCCAAAACTTCTTTATTGAACTGGAAAAAATGTGAATAACCGACAGTATTTGACTTAGCTCTCGAGCTTTCTTCATGACTACTTCCAGTCAAGTAGAAATCATGTAAAATCAACTTCACTCACCTTGGTAGAGGCAAGTTGATGGAGCATATTCAACAAGCCTTGTAATTGCCCATCCTTATCGCTTATATCTTTAGTTATTCTGAAAATATGCATTTAGATATTCATAACTTAAGAAACACGAACCTCTTTTTCTGCCTCAAGAATGACGCAGCTCTGCTTTTCTCTCCGGCCCTCAAAGCTTTTCTACACTCATCCTCATACCTGGGGGATAGTTTGTATTCAATTAAAAAGTCAATATCTCACTTTTTTGCTTTGTCTTCTAGAACAGAAATTTCTCTTTCAACTTTTGTCATAGCCCGACGGATGTCATGTACTGATGCGTCTGCTTCTGTGAACTGTACAGGATCATTACTTCCGATATCCTGAATTATTCGATACGACCATACTTCATAGTTGTAACATACTCTAAATTTAATGATTCTTTCTCCTTTACTTGATTGTCCAACAGTAACGTCACCAGTGTCACTCATATACTCCAATAAAATGTCAAAATTCTCCTGAAACAGATATAAAAGTTAACAACACAGTATAATACAAACCTTAGTTCTGAAAATATGACGAGCTTTTTCATAAAATTCAGAATAAGCAATAACTTCTCCGGTACCATCGCATTGAGATTTGAATTCATCAATGAAAAGGTTCATTGCTTCCTCTGATTGTCGCTAGAATACATCATTGAACTTGGAACTGGTTAAAAGCAAAACCTTTAGTGTTGGAATATGAACAATTTTCGAATTTTGCATTGAATCCCCTGATCCGAAGATCCAAGATGAAGTTTTTGACAACTGAGATACTCCCCAATTGACCCAGGTAGAATGTTTTTCCTTCCAATCGTTTAATGTAACGAGTGTTCCATGACTGAATAACAGAATCGAAAAGAATGTATACTGTTTCCTAACCTTTTAGCATGCTCAATCACTATTCCTAAAGAAGCGGGAATCTGATCTCCTCTTCTGAAAGCTCGCTTCAGTGTGTCTAAAGTGAAAACTGCATTCTTCTGGTGGATACAATACGAGTCAATGGCTTCCTCCCAGAATTTTACTTTTCTATCGTGATCGATAGGATTAACGTGTCTAGCCTTAACCAGAATCATTCGCACTTCCTCGTAAATTATGAACAAACCTTTATCATGGCCATGTACCCAACCATCGCGGCATCGTCATTCCAAACAGGAGGCAAGTACGAGTTCTCCACATCTCCCCCAGCAGGCATCTCAAATCGTCTGAATATCAACAGTGTGATAGTTCAACTTGAAATATATTACGAGAAAATTCAGAATATGCATCAAAAGTTAAGGAAATTGCGTGGTTTAGGTGATAAATAGACAGCGTGGGATTCATTTTTTTAAAACCATATACGCGACTTTACGTCTACGTACTTTTCATTGACATTTAACCCCTTCAGAAAACAGTTTTCATCAATAAGCAGTTGTATTATGAAACAGAATTAATTGACGACATCCCTGCAAGCTTTTTAGTTTCTTTGAATTTGTGGAATGCAACCGCTCTGCGTGTAGGACACTTGGAAATGACTTGTGAGATAAGTGATAATAAATCGTTGCATCGTACTTTTCTATTAAGAACAATAAACGTTGTTTCATTCTCTTATTATTCAAACTTATTATTCCATCAAAGCAAGGGTAGCAAAAATGCAAATCTTTTACAAAAAAAATAATACTGGAAGCAGGCTTATGCCCATCATGCATTTACAATTAGATACAATGTATTCTTTGAAAAAATATAGTTCCTTCAAGAGAAATATTATGAACTTTCTAATACTTGTTCAAGCCTTCTTCTATAAGAAGAAATACCAAAAAACTAAGTTTTTCTTGTTATGAGTCTGTGAACATTCGCTTATTAGGCGTTTTCATAAGCTGCTTTTCTCACAACTTTTCTGAGTCTTCTCTGTTTCGAACGGAATGAGTGGACTTTTCCAATGGGCTTTGGGAGCATAGGTTTGAATACTACGGTGATGTCGCTGTTCTGAAATGAATAGAATTTAGTTTGTCTATCAAAGTTCTTTTGATAATTTAATCTTTCTAGAAAAGCGTTAATGTATTATGTTCATGAAGAAAGCAATTTTTGGTTTCCGTCGTTATCATTTGACACGAGGTTGAGACTATCACGGTAATTTCAAGGGTTGAACTAGCTAGCTGGTCGATCAAAAAAGCAGTAGAAAATGCGATATTCAGTTTCAATGTTAAACTTCGCAATGGCATGGAAGTTGAAAACTCAGAAAATGATAACCCACTTCTTCTTTTGGTTCCATGTATCGGTTGGGACATTCACTTGGAAGAATACAGTTTCCATTGTGAGTTCGTACATAACCATGTCGGCATTGACATCTTGGAAAGTAGCATTTGGGAAGATTGGTGTTGTGAAGGCAATGCGGAGGACTTGAAACAAAACAACTAGTCGGAGTCAACGGATATGTTGTCGTACCTGTACATGTTATCGCAAGTTAAATCACAATGTCGTTCCTGTCCACAAGTGACATGAATTTCTTCCATTGTGCAGGAATCAGAATTTTCTTCATCTCTTGGTGGGTATGGATATCTTGGAAGACGAGGCTGAAAATATGATTTTGAGAAAGCAAAGGACACATACTACTTAGAAAGGGATTAAAATGATAAGAAAATATTTTTTTGAAAGATTTCAACAATTTTGTAAAAAAGAAGAAATAATCTTAGAAATCAGAATGAACGGAAATCGGAAAAGAAGAAATAAAAAAGTTTTGAAATAATAAGAACAATCTTTAAACAAATAAATAAGTATTTCATTGTCTTACGATATGAAGAGGAAATTTAATACTTTTCTCTCTCAACGAAACGTTCTTTTTATAGATTTTGATGAAGAGTTTTCATGCCTCATTGACAAACCATCTTATCTGCTAAACACAAGCTGTACTTGACACCTTTTCTAACGACCCCCACATGCAAAAACTTTGTATTTGATAAAAAATTCCAAAAAGGCGTTTACTTTGAGCAGTGATTCACGTAATACAACTGCATTCTAAAACAGGAAGTTAAGGAGTTTGAATGTACTGTTGATAATATGTTGTAGATCATTAAGGAAGGAAACAAGCAGGGAACGAGAAAGCACGATCACGAAATGAACTTACTCTTCGTTGAACTAAAGTTCTATTGGAATGAAGTTTCCGATTATGCCGACGAACATGGATGTGTTGCAGACGGCGTTGGCTCAATGGAGCAGGAACAGCTTCAATCAGCAGACAAACCAATGCCAGTAAGACGAAAACGAAAAAAAACTTCATAATTCTGTAAATATCAGATTGTAAATGTGTTTGAAAGGACTGATTGAGTTAATCATTCAGGTCATAAGATTGATCTGAATATCTGATTGTATCATAATCTTGCAATTAGAATAGCAGAGCTACTGATAATAAGAGAAAACTTCAATGACGCATTCAAAGGATTGGAATGGTAAGCATTCGGAACATTTTAATGAGGATTAACAGTATTTTCGATAAATATAGAATGTGAAAAGAGCTTAAAACATCTTGCGTTATCAATTGAAATCTGGAAAATGAATGGATAGCAGCTACCGAATAATCAGAAATAGAGTATCGTAAATAAATAAAAGATCGTAAGGAATGCTGGAGATAATACTTAATTGGAATGTTCTACATCAATTGCCTAGCAAGGATCCAATTTTTTCTGTTTTTTTTCGAAACAACAACTTAGCTGCTGCTAAGGAATTGCGCATCATCGATAATGTACTCTGAAATGAGTGAACTACAACCGATTGATAGGGAGCCTTTGTTAATACATGCGATGACAAAAAATCTTACAAAAATTGCAAATGAGAAGACCTCATGAGCTGATAAGTTTTTTGGAGCAAAATAGAAGGAAGCATAATCATTCAATTCTAATGTGAGCAACCGCGGTTGGAGGTCATGAATCCTCGGGATGGGTTTATGGGGTGAAGCTCTCCAATACAGCCTCGTGACGGAAAGAAGGGCGGAGATTTTCATTTCAGATCTTATGAAGCTTTTTCGTTTGCTTTGAGAGTGATCATGTAGAAGACAATGAAATTGCATACCGTGTATAACAAGAAATCTCTACATGATGAAATTATGAAAACAATCAGAAAAAGAGGTTCGACCCCCGCCTGTTTACTGAGTAGGAAAGGCGTATGGGCATAGATCATAAGAGAGAAGATGGATAGAATCAGACGAGAGCGAGTTAAAGCAATGAATGAAAGTGAGCCTTTTCTTGTCAGCGAGAACTAAACAATGAAGATTCAGATAAGAATGAAATTGATTAAAAGTTGAGAGCATATCCCGTATATGAGTGATAGAGGAGGTCGAGAGGCAAACTAATCGGCTTTCTTTTTTCAGAGAGTTGATCATGAAAAAGGTAACCGACTCCAATAAGAGGATTGTTAGCAGCGAGGAAAAAGCGAATTCCAGAGTGTCACAAGAGAAATGCAATAGAAGAAGAAGAATAACATATTCTTCCATTGTTTTCAGATGATAAGAGAGATATTTTTCTCAATTCAAAAGAGACATCACAGACATATTCTTCAACAGCAAATTAGCATCTACTTTTTGAATAAAAACAGACAAGTTGTCTTGTAATTCCTATAGATGATGGTTCGAAAAGAATTGGCAGAAGACCAGCAAAAAAATATTTTTTTGCTGTTTTCCTGAACAGAGGGAGGCGCATTGAGTATACTGTAAAGCCTTGAAATTAAAGAAAATAAAACAATTGATAGTCATATGAGCAGATAACCTCTCTCAATGACTAATAGGAGATAAAAAAGGTTTCGGAAGTTTATAAGGTTCAAGTTTGAGGAGTTTTGACTTGAAGCTTATCAGTGAGCTAAAATTAAAATCAGATCGTCATTTAAGGCTGCATGAAGTTTGAGAAAAGAAGAAAAAATCACGAGTCTTCTGGCCACAAGTGCACACAGAGATAAATGGAAAAATTTCGAAAGAACTTAAGGAATTATGATGTACAACCTGAAAAATGTGTGGAGGAGGAAGGGAGTGGTCAGTGACACTAAATAAAGAATTCAAAAGGAAAATAAACTTTTCTTAGTCACACATCCTCTCCATAACCCCTTTCTTGCTAATATTTAAACTATTTATTGTAGGTGGACAGTTTAATATTTGATTTTTATTAGAACAATCTGATTTTTTCAAACTCTGCCTCAAATTCGGAACGTAATTGAAATAGATGGAGGGTGGAGGAAAGGAGGAAGGGTAGCGGATCGAAAATCGTTGGGAATTCGCTCTAGAATTTGAAGAATGAAAACTCTATTAAATTTATGTTCATAATCATCAAATTTTAGGTTGTTCAGATAAGATTTATAGGTGAACATTTAAATGTTTACGAGTATCGTAGGCGAAGCAGCCCAAAAAAGGACAATGTGTAGGGGAGATTCGAACATATCACCATTCTGATAGTTCCCAATTAGATCTTGTTCATTCTTTTTTTTTTATAGAAAACCATTAAAAACGCATCAAACTATGAAATACCTGATGGCATGGACAGGTGACTGACTGGCCATCCAGAACATAAAAATTATTATATAATAGAAAAACAGATAATTGAAATGAATCATTTGGTAAACTTTTAAACAGAATTAGTTGAAAACGAAGAAGAACATCACATTTCATCATCATCTGCTTGGAGCCCATTTTGGAGAAGAAATGAAAGAAATACATCTGTTCCAAGCACACACAATGTCCTTTAAACGAAAAAAAAAAGAGGAAATATCGTAAGCGTTTCTTCTCCTTTCTCTTATCCATTACAATTTTTCTTGAAAAGACGAATGAAAGACGTCCAATATCTCTTTTTCCCTCTCTACCTCTCTCTTTCTTTCTCTCTTTCCGTTACTCACATAGCGTATATGGGAAAAGTTAGCCATGATCGGTAGGCTCGTAGAACATCTATTTAAAAAAAAATAAAATTTAAAGAGTGATGGTAAAGGCGGGTACATGGCACAAGTTGGTGCAACTGTTTTGATTCTTCGAGCACACAACAAAAGAGTTCAAGCTATATATATATATACATACATATATAGTTGGATAGTCGCCAATTCATCTCAAAACATACTGGACGCTCGTGTGTGTGCTTTTTAACCATAAATTGAATAAACGATCAAAAAGATGGAGTTATTATTGTCTTTGCACTTTATTGATCTCATAATGCATCTCCTGGGACAAATTCAACATGTTCACACTTCAGCTCTGCTCTCAACAATCTCTTAATCTTCGAAAGAACTTGTATCAACGATAAAAAAAACTGTTTGAAGCGTTCCAAATGACCACACAGGTCGAGAGACAGTAATCATGCCCTTTAGCTGATCTTCTCTTTTTTTACACTACAATATTTCAGTAGCCAGAGTCACAAATCTTCTTGAAAAACCCCATGTACGAAAAGTTTTTACTTCATTTTTTAAACATAGATGATGCTCTGATTAGATCGCAAATCTCGATAAAGGAAAAAAATGTCCACAAGTTTTCTCCCATTTCTTGGCTTAATGTCGTTTATCTTAGCTCCCAGCCAACCACTAGTAGGTTTTAAATAGAATTACCGTATAAGCAATAAATCAAGCAGTGTATTCCTATATTTTATATTAAAATCTAGAGCAGCAATATTTGTGATGATTTCCAAACAGATGGAGTTGTCAGTCAAGATTGGCTACGATCGAGCTGAATTCTTTCAATGTTTTTCAACAAAATAAAACGAAACATTTCTGTCCTATTTCGTGTAAGATAAAGAGCAAAAACTAAACTGGATTAGAAGTTATAAACTTGGACCAGAAGCCAAAATGCGTTATCATATCTGAATTCATGTGCGAGCTGAGTAACGGGTGTGTTTCATTTTGGTTTTCAAACACGTGGAGATCGGTTGTATTACTTGTGCGTATGGAAAAATTTTCATAGTATAAAATTTATTATTAAAAGAATCATATGTATTTACATATACTATGTATAAAACTGTGAATCATTTTATGACAAATGCAATTTAAGTAAGTAAAGTAGCGTTCTTCAATGATTAGCCTAGGGCGCAAAATTCATATCTAAAACTGAAAAAAAATAAAATGCTTGAGTATACAAGTAAGATCTAGCGTGACAAATTAAGCAGTTGAATCGCCTGCGATCAGTATTAGTACGACAGCCATTATGTATATATAAAAGCTTGTGTGGATTATTCATTCACCGAGTGAAGGTTGATAAGCTCATCGTCAAGGTTAGATTTTAAGTCGACCGTTTTTTCCTTCGAGCCTGCAGTTAAATTATAAGTTAGGTGTTACTGGTTGTTTAAATACCAGCAAAGCATCTGTGTTCGGTGGTAAGCGGAGGGCTGACTCGGGTAAATCCAGAGCTCGTGCAGATGGTCTGGATCTTAACTCATAAGATGTTCCTGTAGCCGACAAATCAACACGGGTACCCTGAGAAGGGTACGGTCTTGTTCTAAGATTACTGAAAATTAATAGAAGCTTTAATGAGATGTGATGCTTTTGTTACTTTGATGAGAGCTTTCGTTGAGAAGCTATTTTACTTGCTAAGAGTTTCGAAGTTGATTTACTACCCTCGACAGTGACCTTAGCGATCTGAAAGTTCCACACTAATTAAACAAATACATATAAGGATTTCTTTTAAGTTGTGATGATAAGATAAGGTTGGCTTGTGAGATGGTGTTGGAAGAACTAAGGAAGTGGCGGGAAACACGCGAGTAACCTAACTAGATGATACCGAATGGTCATGCTGATAACAACGACAATCGCTCACACATATATAAGATGGATTTTATTAAGCAATTATTAAAAATAGTTAAAAGGATGAAATGCAAAGATAACGTATAAACAAGTCAAAACTGAAACTATATAACATAAATGTTTTAGAACTTTCCCAATGTTTCTATCACGTTAAGCATGTTACAGAAGCATCCGCAGTTTGATCAGGATACATCGTTTTGAATTTGTATATATACAAGCGAAAAAGGCAAGTGAAATAAAATTTACACGTGTATGAATTAATGGACGAATTCTAAGATCGATTTGGAACAACCTAATAGTAAAATTACAGAAGCACCAACGACAAGCGACAATCCCAATAATCACCATGGCCATCAGACGAGCTTAAAGAAGCCTAATCCAAAGACTACTAGATCGAAGTGAAACTATCTGAGACAAAAGCATGCAGAAGATTTAACGTGTAACTAAAGGTCAAACAACAGAAGTTAAAAAATAGTTTAAAAAGAACCATGCTGTGCATATGAATAGAAGAAAACCGTTAATTTTGAGAATAACATACCGGCGCCGGCGCAAATCGAGAGCCAGTGATATGCGAGAACTTTGAGCGTGTTGATGAAGTTGTGGATGGTGACATAGGCTTTATTGGAGTTGTTGGAGAGGAGAAGCGTGTTACTGAGAGCGCAGATGACCGTGACACGGAGTTCTTTGTAGGTGTTGAAAGAGTCTGAAAAAACTTTCGTGGACAGAGAATCTGTAATCGTCGTACTTGAGGAAACAAGTTGTTCATTTTGTGCTGTCTCGTCCGTGTAGAAATGACATCATACTTTGCTTCTATATTCCCATTGTGGGGTGAGAGCTGTTGGTGTTGACTTCTAACTTTCATAGCTAACAGTCGATCACCTTGAGACCTTCCTAAGCTATCTAACGCAGTCTTCAAAAATGCCAAGCTTACAACTATTATCTAATATAGACATACCTCATCTATAACACCATTACCATTAGTAACATCGCCTCGTTGAGATCTTCGAACTGGAAGTATTGCAGGTCTTGTTCTAACGTTCTCATTTTGACGATAACCAATAGATGCATGAGTTAGTTTGATATCATCAACCTAAAAATGAGAATTTAAACACTTGATGAAAGAGAATTACAAACCTTATTAACCAATGCTTTGTAGTTGCCTTCAGAACCGCTATCGCGATGCTTCCGAGGATTATGCACGGTTTTTCTATTGGACATTGACCAACAAAACTTCTGCTTCGCAACTAGCCACTGTTGTTGAGGACCGATTACTGAACCAGGTCTACAAATGCGTAGCCAGGCCATGCACTCAGCCGCAGTTAATCCAAACTGCTTCATCATCCAACATGCAATTAAAGTGCCTGTTCTTCCGAGACCTTTTATATAATCATAATTGCAGTATCATGAGGGTAGATACCTGCTTTGCAATGTACAGCTACAGCACCTTTGGCGTTATCGACAATGTCTATGAAGGTTTTAACAATTTCGTCAGAAGGCGTACTACCATCAATAAAGAACAAATCAACATGTTTGAATCCAGCATCAGAGAATCTTTAAAAAAAAAATAAAAAAATCGCAAAGTCAGAGTTTTTCATACTTTTTGGCATCATACATATGCATGTTTAATCGCACTATAGTTGAAACATTTTTTTTTCGGAAGTAGTCAAAATACACTTCAGGAGCGTGGTATGGATAGCCTGAAGATTCAAGATGAGCTGAGTTTGCTAACATGATGATACCGTCTTCCACAATGCTTTCATTGTGGGGACCACAGAAAGATAAAATTTTGCTGGGAATTATCCAATTCAGATCTCCGTTTTCTACTCTTTCATAGAACTCATACTCTTGAGCATCAAAAGTTTTGAAATCAAACCACTTGAATTGGAGAGCCTACGAGAGATAGGTTATGATAGTGTGAATGATTGTGCGATACCTTCTCAACAGAACGTAAAACATCATGAAGATGCAGAAGATAAGTGGGTTCGCCCATAGCAGCATCCCGGAAACCTATGAACTTCGGTGGCTGAGCCATTTCGAGTTTCAAATAGGCAGCGTCCGCGGTCATACCGTGGTAAATTATCTAATATTTTTGTATTTTCCGATGTTATTTTCGCACTCACCATATAAGCACCAACAATATAAGCCCCATTTAATCTCTCCTCCTCATCAGAAGAAGCATAAACAACAACTTTTCTTTTCTTTGCACTCTGAAAAACAAAATATGCTATAGGTTTAGTTTGTATATGGTACCACAAGTTGATGAAGACATTGGCTGAAATGATATAAAACGGATAAATTCAACGGTCCAAAGTCAGAATAAAACGGCTCGTAATGTACCTAAATGATGATTTAATGTATTTCTCCTCTCAGGTTCCTTATTACATGATCACTTAATCTAATATACTTCACATCTACGTCAACCTCTGTATTCTCAGAGAAACAGGAATAATATAATTGGTCTCGAATAAGTTCAACGGTATTTCCATATGAACTTTCTGGATTTAATCCTGGAGATGCAACCATTTTAGTTTACTTTATAAGACTATATTCTACGGTCAGAAAGGCATTTCCTGAAATGTGAATAAAATGTATTTTTATTGAGGAAGTGAAAGAGAGTTTAAGATTCTTACGATGTTGTTTTTGAGATTTTAATTCGAAAAGACAGTTCTAGAGAGAAAAAAAGTGATCAGAGGAAATAAATAACAACAATAACATCAACATAAAGCTGTATATTGAAATCACGCGAAAATATGGCAAGATGCCAAATATACAGTACGCCTAGCGCTAAATGGGAATGTTTGAAAAATAGCATTGGAGCAATCGAATGTTAGCTGGAGCGCGGATTAAAAAAATCGTCATTTTTTTTTATAAATTATTTTTTAAGCATACGAACTAATAAACTGTGTTGTTGTTTTTGATTCGATACTCTCTTCACTCTTTCAAACCTGAAAATCGTGTTTGAGAAAATTTTTATTCGTCAAGATGGATTTCGCCCCGGTAGTGCCAAAAAAGAAGTTGAACGATGAAGAAAGAAAAGATCTTATGAAAAAGCTGGATGATGAGTTGGATCAATTTATGGATGATATGGCTGCAAGAAAGGTTAGCAAATCAAAGTGAAGTTGCCAGTTGCTACTTTTGTTTAGAAAGAAGAGAATGTGGAGAAAAAACCTTTCGACTTTGATGAATGGTGTAAGGAGATAGACCAGCATCCATGTTTTATGACCGATAAATCGGATATTCATAAAGCATTAGATGGTAAATATGGAGATACATTAGCTGCTTTACAAGTTTTGAAAAAACGCTCTCCTCCTATTTTCTCGTTTATTATAGGCGCTCAAATATTCCGAGGATGATATAGAAGACTTACAAGCTACTGCAGAAAAAAATAAGAACGAAGGGAACAAACATTTTGGTTTCAAGAAGTACCGATGGGCAATAGATTGTTATACAACCGGTAACACTATTTTCTCATCGATTATTTAATGTTTTGAATTCAGGAATCAAAGCTAAATGCTTGGATAAGAAACTCAATGGGATCTTGTACTGTAATCGAGCAGCAGCTCACAAATATATAGGAAACTTAAGATCAGCGATTCGTGATTGTTCTTTCGGCCGGAAGTTTGATCCCACTAATCTTAAAGTAGGGCTTTCTAAATTCAATAAGAACAAAACTTTTTCTCAAGGGGGTTGTAAGAGGTGCTGAATGTCTCATAGAATTAGGATATGGAAATCAGGCAATTAAATGGATTGACAGCAGCAAAAAACTTTTCGCCGTTCAGAAAGAATTAGAAGAAAATGGTTTTCTGTTTCTAACTTCACTTTAACGAAATGGTGTTGTAGGCCAAGTCACAGATGCCGAGAAAAAACTGTTGGATCAATTAGAAGTTTTATATGAAAAGGCGGGAGAGGTTTCCGCTGTTGAAGAAAGAAATGCTAGGAGAGCTAGAGCTCAGGTAAAACCTCACCTTAATATCACATTTCTATTTGTATTACCAGGAAAAAAAAGATAATGAGGAGAAAGCTAAATTACTAAAGGCATTGGAAGAAAGAAAATTGAACTTACGACCTCGTGTGCCTTTCGCTCGGCCAGAACTTCTTGAATGGTCTATGCTAACAGCAAGCCTACCTCAGCTTCACGAAGTTCGTTTCATGAAATAATATAGACGTATAATTATTTTTAAGCATAAAATTGTGTCATTCGATGAAAAGGATAATCTTCAGTGGCCTGTTCTTGTGCAATATCCAGAGGTAGCGTTGAACTTTTGATTAGTTTTCATATACGATGCATCCAAGGTTGGAGAAGTTGATGTTCTCACTGAAGTCGATGAAAACACAGAACTCGGTGATCTACTTAGTGCTGTTCTCGGTTCCACTGCCGAATGGGACGTTGAGAAAAAGTTCAGGTAGTGAACATTGATAACTTCTTGTTTATTCATCGAACCAATTCAGATTTGACAACGTGAGATACTTCATTGGATCAGAATTCGATGAATATTTAATGGAAATTCATGAATGGATGCCTTTCAAAACTATTTTTTCAACTCCTGGTTATCAAATTAGACAAGGGTTACCTGTTATTATGGTCAGTGTGTCTTATTGAGTTAATTATTCTGTTGTCCAGGTTTACACAAAAGAAAAAGCTGATGAATCGTTCGAGTTGGAAGATAATAATCAGTGGAGATTGAAATAGAAGAAAGTTGAATAATTTTTGTTACTTGTTTTGTTTTTATTGTTAGATTGTTAATATTTTTTACAACATCACTGGAGGAAAGTGGTTGTTCGCTGTTGACTTAGTTACAGAATAGTTTCTTTCAAAGTTTAATCATTTTACATCGAATACTGTTTTACAAAGCGTCAGATGTGTTTCCCCTTGTCGATAATGATTTGACGTGTGAATTATTGTAATGGCTAATAAAATGTACATTATCCTCCATATATGGTGTGAAACTACCAATCGGTTTATCCGTCATATCGTGATAGTTTGACGGTGCTGGCCATGAAGCTTACGGCTACCGTACTGCTGTCAGTTTTTGTAGGCATTCGGTGCTTGTACGAGGATAAGTATAAAACTGCGTGTAAGTTCAATGAGTAATGTAGTTATTCCGTTATTTGAATTTCAGACTCTTCTCTTTTTGAGCAAAGATGCTATTCTTTAAAAACGGACGAAAACATCATGAGGTTGGCTTTCGTTGGAGATCGCTGCTTCGTGGTTCCCTTCGAGAAGGTTCAAGAGCCTCATCAAAACTGGCAGGTTGATGACTCTATTCTGCGCATCCTCATAGTTCTCTATTCGCATAGGAGCTTCATGACAAATGTAATCATGTTAATGGTTACAAAGGACGCCTAGCTCATATATACAACAAAAAACAGATTGACGGTTTATATAGCCAGGGTATTTTGAGAAACGACGTAATTTATCCCTATAAGATAATGCAATATGATATTCTTATAGGAGAACACCAGATTCTTGATCGGAGCGAGGCGTCGACCTTCTCTTAGTCTTGATGTTCCTGATTACAACCCTGACCATGGTGACCACTGGTACTATTATAACGCGAACGGAGATGAATTGGTAAAACTGTTTGCAATTCATGTTGTAACAACGATGTAGGATCCTGTTAATCCAGAACTTTGGTTAACCAATGAGCCTGATAACACAGGGGTTTTACCTCCGGAAAATGTTGTCGCCCTCGAGAAGTACGCAAATATGATCGTTCTTTGATCAGCACAGAGAATGTTCTTTATAGATTGACTTCTCTTCGATATGGTTTTAATGATGTCAATTCAAACGAAGGACAGTTCCATATTTTATGCGAATACGGCAAGTTCATATTGTATTTTTCTGTGTTTATGTTATTTTTTTCAGAAGATTTTCTAGAATGTCCTCCTGGATGGACTCTCATAGACTTTTACTGTTACAAAGTATTCATCATTAGTTGACATCTTTTCACATTTTTATCAAGGTGTTCACTGGAAGAAAACTGGGAACTGAAGCTAAAACTTCCTGTGAAAGCGAAAGTACACCAGTTTTTAAAAATGTATTGTTAGCACCGATACCCGATGATGAAATTAACCTGTTTATTACAAGTATTTGGCAATTCCAACTTTTTTCATACATAGTTTGTCTTTAGAAATCGCCCAAGAAGCTATGCCAGCACAAATTCTACCTGAAGGTATCTTTTCGTATAACCCTGTTATGTTCGGGCTCAAGTTTGATGGTAATGAGTGGAAGTATGACCATCCCTTGTTAGATAGTACACCATATTACTACCGTTGGTATAGCCGTGTTGGTCGTAAGTTATAATTAATTTAGTAAAGGATGTGATGATTCGTTCAGATGGCGAACCAATCAACTTCGTTGGCAGGACTAACTATGTGGCTCTTCTCAATACTTACGAATATGGCGGCGAAAATCTAGAATTGAAGACAGGATATTGGACAATTGACCTAGTGACCAGAAAGTATCCTTATGTTTGCCGTGGTGATCCTATCATAAATGAATAAATGTTTCGAATCATCTCTTCACTATAATTTACTGATTTGTTTTCATATACCTATTCTGAGCAAAAAAAATCAACTTATGTACTAAGTTTGAATTCTAGATATGACCGAGTTCTTAATCGCGTACGGCTCTCAGACTGGCCAAGCTGAGGCAATTGCTGGGCAGATTAAAGAACGAGCCGAAAGTTTAGGCCTGACACCATCATTACATGTACTTAATGGTCATGAGTCAAAGGTTTTTGTGCCGAAAACGAGCAATTTTCATAAATATATCCATAGTTCCATCTTGAAAAGGAAAAGCTAGCTGTGATAGTTGTCTCCTCCACTGGCGATGGAGACCCACCTGAGAACTGTGATCGTTTCGTTAGAAAAATAAGCAGAAAGACTTTAGAGCCAGGATTTTTAAAAGATCTAGAATATGCCATACTTGGTAGTGTCTTTCGTTTGATGGAAATACAAAGAAAATTCAGGCTTGGGAGATTCAAACTATTCTACTTATCAAGGAGTTCCACGGAAGATCGATAAGCAACTGAAATTTTTGGGAGCTGAAAAGATATTGGAGACTGGAGAGGCTGATGATCAAATCGGGTTTCTTTCTTCGTTTGAGTTATTGTATATTCTATGTTTTGTAGGCTAGAGTTAGCTGTTGAACCATGGATTGAAAAATTGTTCAATATTTTAGCAGAACGCTTCGGAATTTCTCAGGAAAAGTGGGAAAATCGCAATGTCTATTTCTAGAGAAAGTTTCACAGGTTATCATCTCTATTTGATTCAAAGCTGAAGTTCAACGCTGTGAAGACTAAAGAAGAAAAAGAGTTGTTGGCTCAAACAATTTCTGAAGATGCGAGAGAAGAACCCCATAACGAATATTCAACTCTCAAAATAGTTCCACAGTTTTATCCAGACAATTCTATCATAAAAGGTTTCATTTTATTTGTGTACTTGCAGAAAGTATCGTTCAGGTGACGTGAAACTGAGCTTAGATAACAATTTGAGAGTACCAATCGCACCCCAAGACTTCCTTGTTTCATCGTTTAGTCATAAAAAACACTCAGTCAACACTTCTGTTTGGCAGAATGGAGCCAAAATGCCTGGAGTTGGTTTGTCCTTTTATACACTAGTTCTCTTCTTAGCATTTTGCTTTAACAGTTAGTGCCCCTTTTAATGTAACTGTTGTTGGAACTGCTTTGGTGACTGATCACGATGTTCAAAAACCCAAAAGGGAAATAATTATTGATCTAGGAGGTGAGAAGAATCTGATATGCTTTCTCGAAGCTTCTACTTCCAGAGCATGAGGCTGTTCTACCTTATGAACCAGGAGATGCTTTCTATTTCATTGCTCCGAATAATGTTGCGGAGGTGAACTTCATTTTAAAGAGGTAGACCATTTTCATTTCTTTGCATAATATTCAACTTCAAACTTTCAACTTCGTAGATTGGGCTTGTTAGACTTGGCTGATAACGAATGGAAAATAGCAGTTGACACGAACACTAAGAAGTTGAAAGCTGTTGTTCCACCACACATTCCGGAAATCACAACTTTGAGGCACTTATTCACATATTGTTTAGATATTCGACGTGCACCTGGAAGAGTGAGACGTTCCCGATAGAGAAACTCATTTTATCATATTTAAGCCTCTTTTGCGAATTTTCGCTGATTCTGCCAAGAAAGAAGAAGAAAAACGACGTCTTCTTGAATTATGTAGTGCCCAAGGCATGAACGACTTCACTCTTCATATACGCCAGGTGATGTTGTTTTCCTATCATTTTTACAGTTTTAATTTCAGGCAGGTCTATCGGTTGTTGATGTTTTGTATGCTTTCCCAAGCGTAAAACCAAATGTAGACAGATTGTTAGGTGAGTAGTCGAAGGACTTCTTTTATAAACGATTGATGGTTCAGAGTTACTACCTCGGCTTATGCCAAGACCATACAGTGTTGCTACAGCCAAGAAAAGAAGAGTTAGATTCGTCTATTCAGTTATGACTTTCACAGCTGAAGAGGGAAGATGGTGAAGATAATTTAATAATTTAATTTCTTATTCATGATATTATTAGCTATGAAAGACAAGGAGTCGCAACAGAATGGTTGAACACCTTAAAAGTTGGAGATAGGATCCAGGTAACAAAATCGAGTCTTAAACTCAATGAAGAGAAGAGAAAAAAACTGTTCAATAAGCCCTGTCAACTTTCTCGTCAGCTATTGTTTCAACTTCGTACTGTCTTTCTGAACGCACGAACAATCTTCTTGATATCATATTTTCCTCTGTAATAGTATGTTGTTTTTCTTATATTCCCGAGTCTATTGACAACGAAATTATTTTTTATGTACTCACCCAAGTCCGACTGCTCCAAATTTAAAGATAGGTTGAAAGAGTTTCTGTAGTAGTCAGTATGCGTGTCTTCTATATTTTCTTATACTATAGATAATGGGTAAAGAGCCAGCACGGTTCCGTTTGCCACCCCCTCCTTTGGAAGCTTCTTCGGTAGCTAGTATGCCGATTCTCATGATAGGACCAGGAACAGGTGTAGCTGTTTTCTTGTCTTTCTGTCAGCATCTATTGTGAGTTTTACTTCAACGAAGGCAGATAAGTAGAAATTCATTTAAAGGCAATTGAAGTTATCTGATCCTGAACATTTCCCAAACGTTCCACGATACTTGTATTTCGGTTGTCGCCATTTGAACAAAGACTTCATCTATAAGTGAGAGCTCGTAAGAGAATTTTTACTAACTAGAACCTATCCTAGAGAAGAAATCGAATCATATGTAAGAGAAGGTATCTTGTCTCAATTGATTATTTGTGAAAGCCAAGGTGCTTCTGATCCCAATCGTTCTAAATATGTTCAAGATGCTTTAAAAGAACGGTCTTCCGAGGTAATTTTTTTTTTTATACACATTTTTTCATGAAATTCTTAATTGAAGGTTAACGAGTTTTTGAACATAACTGGAGATCATCCCTCACGTGTATTCATATGTGGAGATGCTAAAGGCATGTCTAAAGATGTTTGGGCAGCTTTCCAAGACATAATTCAACAGACAAAAGGTACAGAAAAATAAGTGTATGCTGGCTACATTGACATTCAATGTCTTTCTTGGACCAGATGAATTTTCTGAAAATTTTCATGATCCTCTAACATGGCGATTATAATTCCATAAAAATTGAAGCTTAAGCAGAGAAACCGAATGACGAGATGTCGTTCATTCTTTATTTCGTTTTTTTCAGGAATACCTGAAGCAGAAGCGAAAGCTGTTTTGACAGATTTGAAGAAATCTGATCGCTATATTGAAGATGTATGGTCTTGAAAAACAAAAAGTAAAAGAAATATTGGCGCCTTACTCGGTTCCCTCTATATTCATAAATTATCTAACTATTCATCATTTTTTTAAAACTATCAGAAAATATTGATTGTTGCTCTTTTTTGTTTGTACTTTGTTTATGTTCTGTTGCAAAAGAAATTTATTTAAAAGATTTTTGAGATGTCGACTTTTGGATAAAAATCGATTATTTGATTGTCAGACACAACCGTCCAATGTGAATGTTTCACGTAAAATAAGACTAACAACGTCAAGCTACTCCACGTCAGCTTCACGTCAATCTCGTGTTAATAAGCGAAGATATTAAGGCTTCTATTAATACTTTAGAAGGTTTTTTTTACCCTATATTTTTTGGTTTCTTGAATGTTGTGTTTGACACGTAGGAATTATTCTTGAACTCTAAGTTTCTTATTCCTTCACATTTTTCGCTCTCTTGTTTTCGTGGTGTAATGGGTTTTCTGAGATCTTTTTATTTTTTTGCAATTCTAACGTTCTGCTTCTGTTTCCTTCAAAAAATGTTACTCGATTTGTCGCTAGGAACGGAACTATGATTGAAGATTTCAACTCTGTCTTGAAATTCTCATTTCCTTTTTGAAAAAAAAAACGAAGGATGGCAACTCCGGAGTTTTCAAAAGATTTTCACACATTGATCGGAAAAAAGCTTATCGCAGGAACTCCTTGAAGCTATAACCTGCTTTTAGAGGAGATATGCAAAAATTCCTCTTCATGTTTCAAGTGACAAATTAAAAGCGAACTTTACTTCCAATGTGTTTGGAAGCAATCTGCTGTGTCATTACTTTGGGGTATTCTCGTGCAGAGGATTACATATCCAAATGACAATCATGAATTTCATCTAAAATAAGATATATTTATTATACACATTTATACATGTATCTAGAAAGAACAAGGAGCGCCAAGAGAGAGAGAAAGAGAGAGTACGAACGTTGAGAAAGAAGGAAACGTTGAAGAAAGCAAAAAAGACTTGCTTTGTTCAAGAAAATTAAAATACCAAAGAGCAAACATTTCAATTTTTGAAGAAAAAAAAAGATTTTGAGCTCAAAAAGACACATGTGACTACAGCTTTTGATGGAACATATTGTCAATTGCTTAACATTGTTGAGATTGAAATACAATCATTGCCTTTTAGACGTTTTTCATTTAGATTTCCACACATTTGTAAGCATCAAATGTGTTTTCTGATATCTTCTTCTTCTCACATAGTTTTGTTCACAATATTTCACGAGTTTCCGTCTTAACAACCAACCATTTCCATATATTTTCCATGTTTTATTTGAAAAAAAAAAGAAAGATATTTTACGGCTACTGAAGTTTCAGTGAACGTTTTCGGGCTCACAATTTGCTGTTTTTCACTTTCCAACGACATGTAATGCTTCAGAACATTGAACTGAAATCAGTAGTTGGTCACTTATCGTTGTTAAAAACGAAACAAAATGTCCATTCTACTACCATTTATATGTTCTTTGACCCAATGTAGTATAAATAATCAATAAAAGGTTTTAATACAGTAATTTATTTATTTTTTCGTTACATAGCTGGATTGGTCTTAGTATTTTTTTAAAAAGAAAATTGTCCATAAGCCCCTCGAGAACAGAAGGTCAAAGACAAATGTGTTTACGCTGTCGGATTACTTTCTGACTGTTATCATACATGTATCATTTTCAGATCTTATGCTTATTCTCTCTGTCTGTATTACTGTGCTGTCTTCTTAACCATATGCAACTTGTAACTCTTTCCTTTTACTGCCAACTTAAACGAACTCAGCTCATTTAACGATGACATCTCTAGTTGTTTGTACAGAGTTCATCGACGTTCTCTAGTCCAACTTCACTCATAAACAGCTTTTAACGATTATTATGAAGTTTTTTTCTTTTCTCTTTCCATTGACTTGGATCCATTCATTGTCATTGTCATCTTATCATTGCCTGACATGGTAATTTGTATAACAAAAAAACATTTTTTGAAGCCAATTTATAACTTATCCTCCGTGTCTCCGCTAATTGAGGTGAATTTGTCCATTTCCTCTTGTCTCAATTAAGCTTTTGTCTGGTAATTCTGTTGTCGTCAGAATCTGTGAAGAATGAGTTTGACTTTACAAATTCGAGAAAAAAATACAAAATTCTCGCAACATTCATCCCTCTCTACTATAATTGATCAGTGTTTCAGAGAGTGTTTTCAGCGTTTGGACACAAGAGTTGTGGAGATTTATTTATTCATTCATTTACTTTCTTGTTGAAACACATGAAATCTTAAAGGGAATTACTTGATATCTTGAAGCTCTCGTTCCCTCACTCTCTCTCACTCCCCCTCTTTCCCTCTTTCTCTGTCAAATACTTGTGTCCCGGTATGTGTATGTGTGTATGTGTGTGTATCTGTTACTCTCTCTTTTGCCACTTCCTTTTAGATCCTTGTACCCTTTTACTCTTTTTTCGTTTGTTTGTTCATGAACTCTATGAAAGATCGAAAAACTTCATATCTATGAATATCTAAAGTTTGGCAACTTCACATTCTTGAACATTGGAAAACATGGAAGAAATTCCATTATTCTCTTCTAACTCTTGCACCCCCTCTCTCTCGTTTTCAGCTTGTCCTCGTTTCTTTCAGGAAGAAGCGAGAAGAGAAAAGAATCAAAGCTGCTTCTTCTTTTATTTTTTTCTACGACGATAAGCAGTTAAAACTGTGATGGAAGTATATGAAGGAAAAATTGCGACCACAGCTCAAAGATGACGAGTAAAATGGACAAAAAGGGACAAGAATTGAACTGCTGCTGGCCGAAGCGAATGTTGAATATGATGATGACGACGACAACCACATCAACGGAGATCCTTCAAAAAAGATGGCTGACGTATAACCGAGGAAGAGCAGTCACTAGAAGAACGAAGAAGAAAGAAACATTTTCTTTCGTTTTGAAGCCCTAGATAGCTATTAAGCCCACAGCTCTCTGAAGCATATTAAGTAAAATGATAAGTTTTTAAGAATATTTTTGGATTTCTGACCAATCAAGCAGCATTCTCAGTTTGTTTTCTCATAATTCATCTATTTGGAATCAACATTATCCTTCTCACGCAACAGATTTTTTTTGGCCAGCAAAGACAAGCCAGAAATTGCTCTTTGTAGAAATTGAATTGTGAAAGAAGAAAATTTCTTTTTCTCTCTCTCTCTCTTCTCCTTTTTTTGTTATTTGTTTGTAACATTTATTATTCAAATTTTGTATTTCAATGGTAACCTGAACTAGTTCAGGCAGAGCTAAGACGTCTCTCTACTCTTCATCTCTGTCTTCACATTTATTTGATTAACATACAAGGAAGGATGTGTGTACTTTCAATTATACAATTCATATATACTCCCAGAACTGATTATTCAAAATATTTTTTTTCTCCTCAATGTCTCATTCCTTAATTTCATGTTTTCATGCTCACTCAACCGTTTTACACGTAGAAATATGAGAACCACGTGAGCGCCAAAGTCATTTCATTTATGACCACCATTTAATTGTGATCGGTTGAGTTTATTTTTTTTCGCCTCTCACGGAAATTTTCGTATTTGAATCGATTTTTTAGTTTCTTAGATTTGATGTGAGATGTTTCTCCCTCTCTCTTTTTATCATTCACTCCTTGTCTTTCTCTTAACTACCCGATGGAACTCTTTGGAAGAGAAAAAAAAGAGATCAGAGTTGCTTAAAGGGTTTCTCGAGAAAATCTGTCAACTGGAAAAAATGGCAAAAAGATGCCTATTGGGAATGTTTGTTCTGACCTAATGCTTCATCATTCATTCTCTTTCATCTTTGAAATAGTTTATATGTATATACACATATCCTCTCTCTAACTCCCCACCCCTTCACTCTCTCTCTCTCTATCTTTCCACCCTTCCCCAGCCCGTCCTCAACTCTCTTTATAAGGAAGAAGAGAAAGTTGCAAGTTTTCCGTTTCATAATTATCGTCTCAGGTTATTAGTACTATAAATAGAAAGAGAAATATAATGAAATTTCATTGGCTCTTAACGGGATAGCTTTCGTTCGGTAATAATTCTCCTTTTTTACTCGTAAACGAATGTTATTGAGATTTCTATTAACTTTTCTCTCTCATTTTCTGTTTATAGACGTTCAAAATGGTTGCATTCTTTCTTTTTTTTGTTCTCTTATTTGATTATATTCGAATTATTTACTTTTTAACAAAAAAAAGTTTTTCCCATTTAGTTGGCCCAAAATTGGAAGTTGAAAGCTTTTCTCTCTGTGCATCTCTCAAAGTAATCACTTGACTCTCCTACTCTCTCTCTCTCTCTCTCTACTTTAAATTATGTTTCTTTCATCTATTTCTCTTTACTTCCAAATGTTTTTCTTCTATCTTTCATTAACTTATAAAGTGATAATATTGGAAAAAATGACATTGTAGGAGCAATAGAAAATCGATAATTGCTTGGCACGTCATTCAACCCGTTCAAACCGGAAGTATCTAATTGACCTTTGGCGATCATTTAATTAACTAAGAAAAGCTGCCATAATTGATTGTTTTTTGTACTTTTTTTTAAAGAAAAGGATTTGTTGTACTTCGATTTCGTTTGCAACTCGTTTTTAGTCAACATTTCTGCGCTTTTTTTTCTATTTTTTTTTGCTTTTTTTCGTTTTTGCTCGTCGTCACCACAAAAATTATTTTAATTTGAGTTTTGGAGAGAAACATTAGGTGAAAGAGAGAAACATTAGGTGAAAGCAATGTGCTGAACTGCCTGGTCTGCACAACCAGCAACATGCAAATGATGTTTCTTCCCCCTCCTGTCTCTTTATAGTTCTCTCTGTGTGATTTGTAAGCAAAAAAGAATGGTTTTTTCATTGTTCATAACGATTATCATAATCTGATAGTCTCGTAGGTGCTATGTGCAACACTGAGCTGATCAATTTTGGAATAATAGTTTGACGATTTTGATCTTTATAAACGAGCCTGGTTTACCCTCAAATATGGTCATTACTGTCATTA